GCCATGGGGTGCTGGCTGTGCAGCCGTGAGCACTGCTGCACAGCCAGCACCCCACACAGTGTTACAGTGCGTGCACTCACTAAGCATGTAAGGGCGCCTCCCCAGTCATTCCAGTAGATTTCTATGTCGACAACAGTGTGAGAATACGGGGGTGGGGGTTATCATTTGTTTCTCTTCTCTTCCTATGGTCAAATCATCCGGTTCCTTCTTCTATTGAATACATCACGGTGCTGTGCTTGCTGCTGATGCTATCCACTGCAGGATCGTAACGCATCACTCACTGCAGTCTGCAATAACACATTAGGATGTACATACAAGAAATGTGGCGGGCACTACAGCAGTTACTATGACAGGTTAGTACAGAACCCCCCCAGTCCTCTCTCTCTCTCCCTCTCTCTCTCCCTCTCTCCCTCCCCCTCCCCTCCCCTCCCCCTCCCCTCCCCCTCCCCTCCCCCTCCCCTTTCCCTCCCCCCCCCTCTCTCTCTCTCTCTCTCTCTCTCTCTCTCTCTCTCTCTTAATCTCTCCAACCCGATCCATCTCTTTCTCCCCTCCCCTCGTCTTACAAATATTTGTGGAAGTGCAAAATGATCAACACAAAATGATCATTCATGCACATTCACACTTAATAACGTTATTATGCATTTATGTGTGTGTGTATGTATTATACAGTCAAACCTCGTTAGGCCGAACTTCAAGGGACTTAGAACTAATTTGTTTGTCTTATTCGGAGTTCTTCTTATCCAGATCTGACAAAAAAAAATGATATGCATATCGTATGGATGGTGTTTATGTAAAGGTGCATGTCGTGGCACATGTAAAGCATTTTATTCCTAGCATAAGCCAGCAACAGGTAAGTACCATGTGCAATGAATTCATGACAGCATGTCCTCTGCCCTGTACCATGCTGTCAATTCGTTTTTGCCCGTACAAGAGGCTTCGACTATCGGAAAAACTACAGCCAGTGCACGCATGTGGCCGAAAGTTCGTACTACGTGCTGTTTTTGTTCAAATCATGCTTGGATTAGTTCGGCTTCACGGAAGTTCACCCAACAGAGTTCGCCGTAAGGCGAGACCAAAAAAAAAAAAGATTCCCGGGCCCTCCCGCACCAAAATCGAGCTAAAGTCAATTTTTTCGAACAGTTCATACATTTTTTTGAACTTTGTTTTACTTTGCAAAATCCGAACGGGAATTTCTTCCCAATGACAAGGTAGCGAAGATCTTTAAAAGAGGGAAGAAAAAAGAGAGAGAGAGAGAGAGAAAAAAAGGAAAGAAAAAAGTGTGTATGCACTGGAAATGATAGTCAGCTGGAAATCGGATCCATTGTCAAACATGGCATTTGCTACTGTTTCATGTAGTGAACGAGCAATTGCATAGGGTACTGCTGCAGCTTTGAAGGTCTCCAGCGTTGTGCTGGAGCGGACGTCTCCAGGTAATCTGTTCCATTTACCTGTAGCGTTGAACTGAGGCGTACATGTACAATACTGATCGTGTGAGTAGATTTGTGACGTGGAGCCACACAACCCGGGGCTTATACGACTTCCAGATGTACAGATCAGGGCCATCGTTGGCCGAATTATAGAAAAATTGAACGGGTAAACCGCGTACCTGTTTTCTGTAAAAAAAATAGAATGAAAATTCCCGGAAAATGCTGTAAAAAAAGTTCAACATGGCATGTATATAGTTATGTACATACATGGAAAAATAATAATAAAATTCGCGCGCCCGCACCAATTTCACATGGGTCCTGCCCGGGAATCTCGATTTTATTTTTGACTTGATATGATGCCTGGCCAACCATAGGATTGGCCCTGGTTTGTACTAATGGAAAGTTTGCCTTATCAGTGCTCGTACTAACGAGGTTTGACTGTATGTGTGTGTGTGTGTGTGTGTGTGTGTGTGTGTGTGTGTGTGTGTGTGTGTGTGTGTGTATGTGTGTGTGTGTGTATGTATGTGCACGTGTACATGTGTGTACATGTATGTGCACGTGTGTGTGTACGTGTGTGTGTACGTGTGTGTACGTGTGTGTACGTGTTTGTATTTAGATCCAATGCTGATGGTCTGTACTATTTGAACAACTTTGACAACATAGTCTCAAGCTATGTAGTCTTGTTTGAGCTGATGGTGGTCAATAACTGGCATGTCACTATGCAAGGTACGCTGGGTGATGCAGTACACTGAGTCGCTACAATGTAGGATACTCTCAATGTAGGATACTCTCAATGTAGGATACTCTCAGTGTAGGATACTCTCAATGTAGGATACTCTCGTAGTTACTTGTGTAACCGCTGCTGCTCACCCCAGCAGCGGACCCAGCGATCTCTACAGGGGTTTCAGTATAGTCAAAACTGAATAGCTGATACATGTACACGGACACCGGCGCATATGGTTTCCAGTAGTACTTCCTCCGCGTCATCGAAATTGTCGCAGTTTGACTTTTTGTTATAAAACGGGGTATATACTCACCAGCAGTCGTACCACAGGTACGGGATCGGACATAGACGATAGTCATCAGTATAGGCTTTTTTAAATTTTTGTTTACTATTATTCACAAGCCCAACTTGTAAAATAAATAATTATGTGGACAAAAACAAACAGCTACGGAGTAGGGGCTGCACTGGGCAGCAGTGATGGTGAGGTACCAGGGGCTCCACCGACCAAAGGTCTTCAATGCCACAAGCACGCACCAGGGTGACGGCAAAGTTATAATTATTATCTGTTGTTGGAAGCTGAAAATTTTGAACTAGATGCAATTTCTTCGCTGATGTCGCTGCGATGGTACTTTGGACTCGCTGAGATCAGTCAGGCATTGCAGCCTGCACATTTCTCGCGCTTATAGCCATTCACTCAAAACTCATCACTGTTTTACCTGAGCTGGGGTGAGAATGACTTCGTGGAACAAGCGGCAGCGCTTGGAGAAACATTGAGGGTCAGCAAACTAATGCATGCAAGCGCGATAAAATGTATCGCTCTTGCATTCATGCAAGGAATGCTGAGACACTCAGTACCTGCAAGGGCCGTGTAGACTCTACACTGTAGTGCTAGTGATGCACTTGCACGTGCAGGTATAGTACTGTGCCAGTGATGCTGAACAAGAGTGCGCGCTCGACGTGATAGTACACTTACCGTACTCGCGCGATTAGAGAGCCCTCTCTCGAATAGTGCCCTAGTCTCCAAGAGCCAGTGAAAAATAAAGCCCTCTCTTAAATAGTGCCCCCCCCCCCCCTGGTCTTGTAACCAAGCCCATGTGCAAGTTTGGTGTTCTTTTGCTAATGTTCTTGGTCATTGCTTTGTACTGGTGTTTTCAGGAACAAAATCTCAGGTCGTGTTCCCGTTTCTGTGGAGTCTTGAGCGTTTACAGTAAATTGTAGGCTCTGTTTTCTTTGTTTTATGCTGGATGACGCAAATGTACCAGTAATGAAAAAATAGTGCCCTCTATTGAATAGTGCCCCACCTGTGATGGACATTGAAAAATTAGTGCCCCAGGGCAGGGGCACTAATCGCGCGAGTACGGTACATGTACGTGTATGAGCAGTGACCACACAGCTAAAATAAACGGGCATCCAACGGCTAAAAAAAAAGTTCATTTCAAGATCAAGGTGATTCCGCCGACGGTAATCAACTGACCTCGCAACGATCGTGTATTCTTACTGTGTTGGTGGTGAAGTAGAAATCATCCAGAGCTAGCAGACGACAAGCATAGCAGCTCTTGTCCTGTGAAGAAAGTCGATGCGTTTGAGGTGAGGCGCGACGCGACCAACTTCCAACCTTCCTGGAAAATTTGCGGAACGATTTTTTTGTCCATTGACATCAGCGACGACGAGGCCTTCATCTCCGTGCGAAACCCTCAGCCCAACTATCCTTGAACGTTACTCTAGACTTCAGACTATCGTCCTGTGTAATAATTTTCGTACGGCTTAGCTGATGGAGTTGTCAGTAACAAGTGACAAGTCACTAGTCAAACTGCGACAATTTCAATGACGCGGAGGAAGTATGTTTATGAAATTTAGGGGTTTCCGTGGAACCCCAGAAAGGCAGAAACCCCTCCTGAATCCGCTCCTGCACCCTGTTGCTGCTCCCGCTGTTGCTATTGTTGTTGTTGCTTCTGTTGCTGCTGCTTCTGTTGCTACTTTTGGTGCCGTTCGTGCTGTTGCTGGCGGTTCCTGCTGCTGCTGCTGTTAGCCAGGTCCATACCCCATGGTATGGTAGCCTTTGGGTGATTGTTCCACATTCATTCTAACCATTTGACGAAAGGCGGCCACCATCCTTCTCGTTCACATCAGCGCATGACAATCGTCTGACTACTAGAAATAGAAAACATTCAAACCGCATTTCTGCCCCGCCGGTCGAGGAGTAGCTTTTGATAGATCACTGCATACAATGCGTATGTAGTTGATCATGTTGTAGCCTAACCCTTGTGTCTCTTAGCATTTTCCATGAATTGGTAGGGTGGGTGGGTGGGTGCGTGCGTGCGTGTGTGTGTGTGTGTCCTTCTGCTGCCAACCTACGTAGTGTTTCCCATTATGTTGTGTTAATTGTGTGTTTGTTGGTGTTCATTGTGTCGTGTTGATGATATAGGTGCTGTGAGCTCAACTCCATCGCAAACTGTCGCAACGCGTGCTTTCTTTATCATATTCTACTTGGTAGCTGTTGTCATAGTGACCAAGTAAGGAGTGCAGTAGATGAGGGTCATGTCTGTGTGTGTGGAGGGGGGGGGGGGGGTGATACCTTGTGGCTTTATCTGTAGGGTACTTTCCCGGAACCGGGACAGGCTGTAGGGTACAGTGAAACCTGGTTTTTAAAAGCGACCACACCACGGTGCAAGCGAAAGCGGTCGTTAAAGCCAGATGGTCTTTAGAACCAGGTCCCACCGTGTCTGTGTAGAACTGTCGGTGCATGGAAAACCGGTCGTTAAGAGCAGGTGGTGGCTAAACCCAGACGTCACTTACACCAGGTTTTAATGTACTTTCCCGCAAGGACAGGGTGTTGGGTAGAAATCACACCCGTGGATCCAGCTTGCAACAGCGCCATAGAAGTACGTTGTTATGGTTATCTGCATGACTTTGTAGTTGTAGATGCAGAGCTGTAGGCTGCGCCGGGGTGATTTAGAACAGCAGGGTGCTTTTGGTGCCGAATAACCCCTTAAATATCGATGTCAGTTCAACAGTAACGCTAAGCAAAACGCGGTCCGCTTGTGCGACTCTACAGAACGCACGTTGTAGCGACAGTCAAGGCCAAAGAATCCAACTCACATGCTGAAAGCAGCGCCAAGACTCATGTGGCCCCTGCGGCCCTCGGGTGGGCTTTTGGACCGTGCCATTGAAATGGAAACGCGGCGCTACTTTAGACTCATGGGTCGGATTTCTTAGGCCACGACCGTGTCGATAATATTCCCAGTTTAGATCTACATATCTTCAAAACCGGAAACCAAACTACTGCACACGCTGCCTGCAGCTGTGCAGTGTCTGGCACTGTCTGCTCATGCCTTGCACAATGTCTCTTAGAAGCACTCAGTTTATGTGTGGGTTTGGGTGTGTTTTATGCATGTGCCTGTGTTGTTCGATCATCTAGTGTCGTCGTGGCTTTCATCTTGGATGCGTTTCAGTCCTTGCTACCAACATTGAAAGCTCGAGATGAAAAAGAGGAAGCCAGACTTAAGCGGAGACTTGCATCAACTGAAGCAGAGGCCAGTGCTGCCTTTACTGCTTCTGGTTCGACAGATGCTGAGGACAACTCTGATGTGGATACAGACGAACTCACAAAATATGTCTATATATTACGGTACGTGACAATCAGCCCTAGGGTGAAGAGTTGTGTGTGTGTATGTGTGTGTGTGTGTGTGTGTGTGTGTGTGTGTGTGTGTGTGTGTGTGTGTGTGTGTGTGTGTAGCTTTTTGATTTCTGAACTTGATCACTCAGCGAGGAGGCGATTACGTGCACGTGTCACACACACACACACACACACACACACACACACACACACACACACACTGTACTATACTTACTGTACTTGTTGCTCACTGCCAAAACTGGTCACGTGGGTCTCCCCGGGAGAGGGGAGAGAGACTCAAAAGGAATCTTGGAAAGATGACTCAATTGGTTATTGAACTGCCCAACGGCCGACACCCCCTGAAATCCCCAAAACTCTGGGTGGACTTGAAAATGATCCCACTTATGGGCTCACCACACCTCAGTAAGTGGGTGAGGACAAGGTGCAGAAAAAGGATTGACGGCATCAGGTATCCGTCCCGGGATCCAACCGTGCAGTTACCGTGCCCCCAGTGAAGGTAATATTTTCTACTAGTGTGAGTGGCTAAATCAGAGTGGACCTGACAAAAGCTTCACTAGCACCATTGATTACACAAGAGTTAATCTAGCCAGAAGCAGTCCATGGTTAACAGGTATGTATACTTCAAATAGAAAGTATGTGAACCCTGGAACCAACAAAGGTGGCAGGTACAACATTACACCTTCAAGCAGCCGAGCCTGTTGGCAACAGACCCAACACAATCAGGCATAAGTGTACCTACCAACCGAACTAGCTGGCACACACACACACACACACATATACACACACACACCCGCGCGCGCATGCACGCACCCACGCACACATGCACCAAAGCACACACACCCCCGCACGCACGCACCTACGTACGCACACACACACACACACACACACACACAGTCCACAGCTATCTACTGACTGACCACCATCACCTCTCCAGTCCCTTTCACACCCGGTGTACCCCCCCCCCCCCATGTGTACCCCCTGTTTACCCCCCCCCCCCCTGTGTACCCTCCACTGTGCACCCCCATGTGTACCCATCCCCCCCCCCCCCACCCAACATGTTCTAGCATTCACGATATTGTATGACGTAGAGGTCGACGTGTTCCTGTTTTGTTCTCCTCTTTTCGGCCATTGCAGAACTGTTGCCGAGAACCTTGAAGACCAGAAGTTTGTCAGAAAGCTAAAGAAGAAGAGTAAGACCATGCTTGGTAGTTTAGCACCGTTTCAGCACGACGGCATTTGCACTGTGTTTGCACTGTGTTTGCACTGTGTTTGCACTTTGCTTGCACTGTCACAGCTGGCACTGCATTGCTCCCCTCCTCACATCATTATACAGTCAGACCTCTTTTATCCGGATCCTTCGCTATCCGGAAGCAAATCATTGGTTACCGATTTACAGCATATGTCATGCATACATACGGTATGTGTGTTCGATTATCCGGTTCCCTCGCCTATCCGGATATTTTTGTTGAAAACGGATGTGTGCAGTTACGCGAGGTCTGACTGTATTCATGCACACCAGTCATGCACACCAGTCATGCACACCAGTCATGGACACCAGTCATGCACACCAGTCATGCACACCGGTCATGCACACCAGTCATGCACACCGGTCATGCACACCGGTCATGCACACCGGTCATGCACACCGGTCATGCACACCGGTCATGCACACCGGTCATGCACACCGGTCATGCACACCGGTCATGCACACCAGTCATGCACACCGGTCATGCACACCGGTCATGCACACCGGTCATGCACACCGGTCATGCACACCGGTCATGCACACCGGTCATGGACACCAGTCATGGACACCAGTCATGCACACCAGTCATGCACACCAGTCATGCACACCAGTCATGCACACCGGTCATGCACACCGGTCATGCACACCGGTCATGCACACCGGTCATGCACACCGGTCATGGACACCAGTCATGCACACCAGTCATGCACACCAGTCATGGACACCAGTCATGCACACCAGTCATGCACACCGGTCATGCACACCAGTCATGCACACCGGTCATGCACACCGGTCATGCACACCGGTCATGCACACCGGTCATGCACACCAGTCATGGACACCAGTCATGCACACCAGTCATGCACACCAGTCATGCACACCGGTCATGCACACCAGTCATGCACACCGGTCATGCACACCGGTCATGCACACCAGTCATGCACACCAGTCATGCACACCAGTCATGCACACCAGTCATGCACACCGGTCATGCACACCAGTCATGCACACCAGTCATGCACACCGGTCATGCACACCAGTCATGCACACCAGTCATGCACACCGGTCATGCACACCAGTCATGCACACCAGTCATGCACACCAGTCATGCACACCACTCATGCACACCACTCATGCACACCGGTCATGCACACCGGTCATGCACACCAGTCATGCACACCAGTCATGCACACCGGTCATGCACACCAGTCATGCACACCAGTCATGCACACCAGTCATGCACACCGGTCATGCACACCAGTCATGCACACCAGTCATGCACACCGGTCATGCACACCAGTCATGCACACCGGTCATGCACACCAGTCATGCACACCAGTCATGCACACCAGTCATGCACACCAGTCATGCACACCAGTCATGCACACCAGTCATGCACACCAGTCATGCACACCAGTCATGCACACCAGTCATGCACACCACTCATGCACACCGGTCATGCACACCAGTCATGCACACCAGTCATGCACACCAGTCATGCACACCGGTCATGCACACCGGTCATGCACACCGGTCATGCACACCAGTCATGCACACCGGTCATGCACACCAGTCATGCACACCGGTCATGCACACCGGTCATGCACACCAGTCATGCACACCGGTCATGCACACCGGTCATGCACACCGGTCATGCACACCAGTCATGCACACCAGTCATGCACACCGGTCATGCACACCAGTCATGCACACCGGTCATGCACACCGGTCATGCACACCGGTCATGCACACCAGTCATGCACACCAGTCATGCACACCAGTCATGCACACCAGTCATGCACACCAGTCATGCACACCAGTCATGCACACCGGTCATGCACACCGGTCATGCACACCGGTCATGCACACCAGTCATGCACACCGGTCATGCACACCGGTCATGCACACCAGTCATGCACACCAGTCATGCACTCCGGTCATGCACACCGGTCATGCACACCAGTCATGCACACCAGTCATGCACACCGGTCATGCACACCGGTCATGCACACCAGTCATGCACACCGGTCATGCACACCGGTCATGCACACCGGTCATGCACACCAGTCATGCACACCAGTCATGCACACCGGTCATGCACACCAGTCATGGACACCAGTCATGGACACCAGTCATGGACACCAGTCATGCACACCAGTCATGCACACCGGTCATGCACACCGGTCATGCACACCAGTCATGCACACCAGTCATGCACACCAGTCATGCACACCAGTCATGCACACCAGTCATGCACACCAGTCATGCACACCAGTCATGCACACCGGTCATGCACACCAGTCATGCACACCGGTCATGCACACCAGTCATGCACACCAGTCATGCACACCGGTCATGCACACCAGTCATGCACACCAGTCATGCACACCGGTCATGCACACCAGTCATGCACACCAGTCATGCACACCAGTCATGCACACCACTCATGCACACCACTCATGCACACCGGTCATGCACACCGGTCATGCACACCAGTCATGCACACCAGTCATGCACACCGGTCATGCACACCAGTCATGCACACCAGTCATGCACACCAGTCATGCACACCGGTCATGCACACCAGTCATGCACACCAGTCATGCACACCGGTCATGCACACCAGTCATGCACACCGGTCATGCACACCAGTCATGCACACCAGTCATGCACACCAGTCATGCACACCAGTCATGCACACCAGTCATGCACACCAGTCATGCACACCAGGCATGCACACCAGTCATGCACACCAGTCATGCACACCACTCATGCACACCGGTCATGCACACCAGTCATGCACACCAGTCATGCACACCAGTCATGCACACCGGTCATGCACACCGGTCATGCACACCGGTCATGCACACCAGTCATGCACACCGGTCATGCACACCAGTCATGCACACCGGTCATGCACACCGGTCATGCACACCAGTCATGCACACCGGTCATGCACACCGGTCATGCACACCGGTCATGCACACCAGTCATGCACACCAGTCATGCACACCGGTCATGCACACCAGTCATGCACACCGGTCATGCACACCGGTCATGCACACCGGTCATGCACACCAGTCATGCACACCAGTCATGCACACCAGTCATGCACACCAGTCATGCACACCAGTCATGCACACCAGTCATGCACACCAGTCATGCACACCGGTCATGCACACCGGTCATGCACACCGGTCATGCACACCAGTCATGCACACCGGTCATGCACACCGGTCATGCACACCAGTCATGCACACCAGTCATGCACACCGGTCATGCACACCAGTCATGCACACCGGTCATGCACACCAGTCATGCACACCAGTCATGCACACCAGTCATGCACACCAGTCATGCACACCAGTCATGCACACCAGTCATGCACACCAGTCATGCACACCAGTCATGCACACCACTCATGCACACCGGTCATGCACACCAGTCATGCACACCAGTCATGCACACCAGTCATGCACACCGGTCATGCACACCGGTCATGCACACCGGTCATGCACACCAGTCATGCACACCGGTCATGCACACCAGTCATGCACACCGGTCATGCACACCGGTCATGCACACCAGTCATGCACACCGGTCATGCACACCGGTCATGCACACCGGTCATGCACACCAGTCATGCACACCGGTCATGCACACCGGTCATGCACACCAGTCATGCACACCGGTCATGCACACCGGTCATGCACACCGGTCATGCACACCAGTCATGCACACCAGTCATGCACACCAGTCATGCACACCAGTCATGCACACCGGTCATGCACACCAGTCATGCACACCAGTCATGCACACCAGTCATGCACACCACTCATGCACACCACTCATGCACACCGGTCATGCACACCGGTCATGCACACCAGTCATGCACACCAGTCATGCACACCGGTCATGCACACCAGTCATGCACACCAGTCATGCACACCAGTCATGCACACCGGTCATGCACACCAGTCATGCACACCAGTCATGCACACCGGTCATGCACACCAGTCATGCACACCGGTCATGCACACCAGTCATGCACACCAGTCATGCACACCAGTCATGCACACCAGTCATGCACACCAGTCATGCACACCAGTCATGCACACCAGTCATGCACACCAGTCATGCACACCACTCATGCACACCGGTCATGCACACCAGTCATGCACACCAGTCATGCACACCGGTCATGCACACCGGTCATGCACACCGGTCATGCACACCGGTCATGCACACCAGTCATGCACACCGGTCATGCACACCAGTCATGCACACCGGTCATGCACACCGGTCATGCACACCAGTCATGCACACCGGTCATGCACACCGGTCATGCACACCGGTCATGCACACCAGTCATGCACACCAGTCATGCACACCGGTCATGCACACCAGTCATGCACACCGGTCATGCACACCGGTCATGCACACCGGTCATGCACACCAGTCATGCACACCAGTCATGCACACCAGTCATGCACACCAGTCATGCACACCAGTCATGCACACCAGTCATGCACACCAGTCATGCACACCGGTCATGCACACCGGTCATGCACACCGGTCATGCACACCAGTCATGCACACCGGTCATGCACACCAGTCATGCACACCAGTCATGCACACCGGTCATGCACACCAGTCATGCACACCAGTCATGCACACCGGTCATGCACACCAGTCATGCACACCAGTCATGCACACCAGTCATGCACACCACTCATGCACACCACTCATGCACACCGGTCATGCACACCGGTCATGCACACCAGTCATGCACACCAGTCATGCACACCGGTCATGCACACCAGTCATGCACACCAGTCATGCACACCAGTCATGCACACCGGTCATGCACACCAGTCATGCACACCAGTCATGCACACCGGTCATGCACACCAGTCATGCACACCGGTCATGCACACCAGTCATGCACACCAGTCATGCACACCAGTCATGCACACCAGTCATGCACACCAGTCATGCACACCAGTCATGCACACCAGTCATGCACACCACTCATGCACACCGGTCATGCACACCAGTCATGCACACCAGTCATGCACACCAGTCATGCACACCGGTCATGCACACCGGTCATGCACACCGGTCATGCACACCAGTCATGCACACCGGTCATGCACACCAGTCATGCACACCGGTCATGCACACCGGTCATGCACACCAGTCATGCACACCGGTCATGCACACCGGTCATGCACACCGGTCATGCACACCAGTCATGCACACCAGTCATGCACACCGGTCATGCACACCAGTCATGCACACCGGTCATGCACACCGGTCATGCACACCGGTCATGCACACCAGTCATGCACACCAGTCATGCACACCAGTCATGCACACCAGTCATGCACACCAGTCATGCACACCAGTCATGCACACCAGTCATGCACACCGGTCATGCACACCGGTCATGCACACCGGTCATGCACACCAGTCATGCACACCGGTCATGCACACCGGTCATGCACACCAGTCATGCACACCAGTCATGCACTCCGGTCATGCACACCGGTCATGCACACCAGTCATGCACACCAGTCATGCACACCGGTCATGCACACCGGTCATGCACACCAGTCATGCACACCGGTCATGCACACCGGTCATGCACACCGGTCATGCACACCAGTCATGCACACCGGTCATGCACACCAGTCATGGACACCAGTCATGGACACCAGTCATGGACACCAGTCATGCACACCAGTCATGCACACCGGTCATGCACACCGGTCATGCACACCAGTCATGCACACCAGTCATGCACACCAGTCATGCACACCAGTCATGCACACCAGTCATGCACACCAGTCATGCACACCGGTCATGCACACCAGTCATGCACACCAGTCATGCACACCGGTCATGCACACCGGTCATGCACTCATTGTGCACTCACTATACTGCTGCTTCCTACCAGCCTCTTTGGACTGGACCATACATAGCGCTTCCTGACTAGTTGCGGTGTTTTGAGGCGGGCCAGAATACTGCAGACCTTGTGTCATATACACCTCACATGCATACCACTCATCGTACTCAGACCCGCTCTCACCATACCATGATACCATCATACAGAGTCATGCAATGTCAGTGTCAAGCTCTTATTGGCGGTGGTGCCATCGTGAGAAACAAGAATTCAAAAAAAAAGCTAATGGCCACTGCTTTACTCCCTTTCTCAGATTCTGGCTCAGCGGAGGTGAGAATCGTTGGCACACGTCGTATTCAGCCATTGGATATCTACCTGTTGATCTTCGGTGATGATATTGACCAGTGGAAGGACAAGGAGAGCGACTTGGCTTCCTCCCAACCTCGGGTAAGACTATCTATGGGCATAGCTGGTCCACCTTTAGGGGGGGGGGGGGGGGGGGGTGCACGGCCGCATATGGGTAGGATGGCTTGGTGCATGTCCTTCATGGTCTCTATGTGCATGCTGACGCGAGGTCGAAATTGTTAGGGGGGGGGGGGGGGGGGGGGGTGTGCACGAATTTAGTACGTATACGTGAGTGTGACTCGTAAACAGCGCTCACGCGTTTGAAATCTTTTCCTTTACCTGCGGTTTGAGCGCTAGTTGTAGTTCTTCCTGTGCAATACGTGTGTGTATGTGTGTGCATGTGTGTGCGTGTGTACGTGCACGTGCGTGCATGTGTGCATGTGTGTGTGTGTGTGCGCGCGTATACAAACAGGAACGTCTGACGACATTCGTTGACTCGTATCCTCACGACACTGCCCGTGCCAAGGCGTTATCCGGAGCTCACATGAGCACGAGTATCAGTGCGGATGATCCAGCTCCAGCTCCAGCAGCAGTAGCATCATCTCCAACAGCAGCTTCTGTGTACACTGCACCGCAGTACATACCAATGTCAGAGACGGTCAGCTCTGCTGATGGCACACAGATGGATGAGAGCGCTACATAATCTTCTCACGCCCAGTCAAGCCAAGTATCTATCATGATGAAGAACGCAGGTCTGTGCTGGCTACCATCCACCTCCAAACACAGTCAACTGTGTGTGAGCTTTACACGAAAAGATCGTGTAAAGCAATATTGTGCTGTATAGTGGCACTTGTGAAGTGGAGAAAGTCTGGCATGGTTAGGGACCAGCTGACTCATGACATGGGTGATGGTGGTCCTGTGTATAGCACCAGTGTGTTTGGTTCCATTACTTTGTTTTGGACATTGGTTTCCAATTTACATTGTGTACGTGTGTGTGCGTGTGTGCGTGTGTGTGTGTGTGCGTGTGTGTGTGTTTGTGTTATCATACGTGTGGTTATCAGCTAGAGACTTACGTAATTTCATTATCTAGGAGCCGGCCGGACACACCCGCACACAGTGGAGTAGTACTGCTGCTGCCTGTGCCGACATCACATGTAGTGCATATTGCTGGTGTGTTTCGGTGTGGCTTGTCTCACACACTACTACTCTAAAGCAGGGAGTAGTAAACTAGTATTGGATGAGCTCAGCCTGGGTGGTAATCAGGCTGCACGCGGTCTCCTGTGCTGTGCTGCTGCTGCTTCGGTGCGTACAGAAATCTAAAATGATTTTTACGGTGCGTTTTTACAAACTTCTTCATTGTAAATTCAATGGGAGCAATATGTGCACGCGGTGTGATTACTTTCTCAATTTGCAATTTGCTCCCTTGCTGTATAGGCAAGCACTATACGGCTCTATAGCAGCACTATAAGCTATAATAACTGTTAGAGCTGCTAGATTGCATGCTGCTGCTCTCTTATCAACATCACATGCCGGTATTTCCATTTTTAGTAGTAAATTTTTACTCATCAAATGTTAAAATGGCGTAATACGAGAATGCCACTAACAATAAATAGCCAAATTCTGCCATCCACCCCCCCCCCCCCCCTACACACACACACACACACACACACACACACACACACACACACACACACGTGCACAATCACACCAAGTATAACAAGTACTTATAGACTTTAGTCAATGCTAAGGACAGAAAGAGCTAACAATGAGCATACATAAACGACAGCAGTGGCTACATGAAACCACCACCAAGGAGGCTAAAATACAATAAATGAGGAGATGCGCGGCAATACACGACGAATGCCTGTTGTGGATTATTAGATATCAATGTGGATGAATGTTGTGCAGATGGTGCCCGTTGGCTCTTTCTGACAATAACAAGCAGATGAGAGGGAAGCGAGCGCTTCCACAACGAGATGGTTGAGTACAATGAGATGATGTAAATATTTCAAAATGGACGTTACCAACAGGACAGAATGAATAAAACTCAAAGCATCAAAGCACGGCAATCTCAATATGAACCTTGGGTATGGAGAAGCATAAACAGGACAGAAACTCAGCCGCCGTCTTGCTCAACATAACATAATTATTGTACATGCGAGAGAGAGAGAAAGAAAGAGAAAGAAAGAGATGCATAGGTGTTGCAGACCAGCAGCCACTGCTTATACCACACACTGCAAGCTAGCAACACTTGCCACTGCTTATACCACACACTGCAAGCTAGCAACACTTGATGACGCTTATACCACACACTGCAAGCTAGCAACACTTGATGACGCAACATACAACACATGTTGCAGATAATAAAAAACAGACACCAAAACTATCTACTACTGCGATGGTGCATCGCTAAAAATTCTAATTCAGACTCCGAGATCCTGAGTAACAAAAGGAATACTAGATAAACAGCCGATAAGATGGATTCTGCCTAGAGAGACACAGAGAGCAAAGAGAGAGAGAGAGAGAGAGAGAGCATCATGATCTCACATTAAAAAATTGGTTTGTAAAAATAGATATTGAGGATGGAACCAGCCCAGAGGAGATCAAGAAATCATTTGACAAAATATGGCAGAACAATGATGCTGTGAAAGTCAGACCCGTTGTGTTCAGGTGAAAATATGATACTTGCAAAGTGTCTGTGTGCGAGGCGAGCACATGTTAGCTCAGGAGAAGAAGTATAGTAATAAGCCACAGCACATGAAATGACATGAACATAACAGCAGCAGCAGCACCGGCAACTGTGATGACGTAACCGGCAACTGTGATGACGTAACCAGCAACGGTGATGATGTAATCGGCAACGGTGATGATGTAAATACTAGTGAGCACAAGACATACATATAAGCAGGTAGCGGGGGTATAGCCGAGCGACGGTAGTGCTAAACACATCACTTACAGTCCACTATGGACGCCATCACCATCCTCCTCATCCCCATCCTCATCATCATACCTGCACAACTATGACAGGAGACTGATGACCGGAGGAGCAGGCTTGGGCGTCATGGCAGGGGGCCTAACAGCGAGGTTGGCGCCGCTAGCGGCCGTGGAGATATTGCCAAGAAGACCGGCAACAGAAGCAATGCCAGCGCCACCAGCAGCAACAGCTGCTGAGCTACTCCTATCCATACTGACTTCAGTACTTGTAGCAGTATTACTGGCACTAGTAAAAGCAGAGCTGCTGCTGCTGCTGCTTAGATGGCTGGTCGTGGCAGCAGCAGCAGCAGCATTAGCAGCGCTGGCATTGCTGATAGCAATAAGCGCGTGTGCTAGGCGTGTAACGTTGGTGATGTGCGGTGGCAAGCAAGTGCTGGGCAGGCTTGCCGACCAGCCACACGACAGCCAGCACTGGCTGTAGAAATCCTCCATTACACGTCTGCAGCATAGGCAAACACATACACACACAAGCGTGCACACACACACACATAGACAAACACATACACACAAGCGTGCACATACACATACGCCATCCCCATCATTTTCATATTTTTGTTTTCACTTATGGCAACTTCAGCCCTCACCAACGCTGTACAAAGCGTCACTGGCCCGTTTCTCAACGGTCGCGCAAATCGACCAATCAGCGTACAGCTAATGTACCAAAATTCTCAAACTTACCGTAATTCCTTGGTTCATACGGTGTAGTTTCCAAAGATTTTTTATGGGCCAACGTCTTCTTTCGATAGATACCAACAGATCGTCCGCTTCGAATTTTTCGATTTGATTGCCGTTTGGCCGAAAATTACCTCCGAAACCGGCCTCCACTCGTTTCACTTCAAGGCTTTCCAGGTGGACGGCATCGCAATTCGGAAGCGGAGAAAGGATAGCCAGTGAAAAAAGAAAAACAACGACGTATTGGTTGTCGAAATCGACCAAGAAATGAATTCAATAGACCTGTTTCCGTGCTGCGCCCTCGCGGCCCGCGCGAGTGCGAAAGGGATTCTTTCTCGACAAAACAAACAACTACTAGTACGCGCAGTACACTGACATCACTGCACTGGCTGTATATACCTTAGGAATATCCTGTTCTTTTCCAAGGCATGATTGTCGCTAGTGGGAGAACTCAGCCACCTGAAGCTTTCATAAAGGAAGAAGTAGTAGGTGAATGAGTTCGCCAGAAAATGGAACGACAAGAAAATAGATCCTGTTGCTTTCCGGGGCGCTCATGAGACGACGGCAAGATAGGACTGAAACGATCGACAGTCTGCCTCGACGCAAAAGAAACTCTTCTAGGAGGAGCTCGACGTGCTGTAGAGTTTGCAGTATTCTGCTGGAAGAAGACAAGAGAACTAAACTCAGACTACAGCGTGGAGCTGAAGCACGAGCGAAGCAAAAGCTGAGCGAGTTCGAAGAAATGGGGAAACACAGGAAAATGAGTGGGCGACATGATCTTTAGCTCGCGAGCTCGAAGCTCGCGCTGAGACACGCGGTGGGCACGTGCGCCTACGGGTAGCGCGGCCAGCCACCATGTTTTCAAAATGGAGGTCGACGCTTTTGAAATCTGTGTAGACGATGGTGAGGGCTGAACTTGTGTTTTTGGTCACGGTCTCTCTCTCAATCTCAAGGAACAGTGACTATGTCGTTCCGAGAACCAGAACACCTCAAAGTGATAGTTTAGAGCATTCAGAAATTATTTGCGCGTGGCTATTCATAATTGGCTTTCCCACCGTAAGTTACGCACAACTCAGAATTTCATACTAGCTCTCCGCAATCATCAGGTGACTAATCTATTACAAATTATACCCCCCCCCCCCACACACACACACACAAAACGAACCTGAGAACATCTGTGTAGAGCAAGGGTCCAGCAGATGACTGTGACGGTGCTGAAGATACAGCGGTGATCGATGGTGACTTCTTACAGCGTTGATCAAGCTGCACGCTCTTGTGGATGTGTAGCGAGGACTAGAAATAAATACAACACCCACCAGCAATACAAACACAAAGACATAATTAGTCACACACGACAGCAAACTTCTTCAAGAAAGATGTACGACACGCATCCTATACATTTATTGTACCAGTATAAAGATCACAATGCTAAAAAAAGTTAGGCACACCTACACCTACACCCACACCCACTCACCACCTCCCTCCCTCCCTCCCTCCCTCTCTCTCTCTCTCTCTCTCTCTCTCTCTCTCTCTCTCTCTCTCTCTCTCTCTCTCTCTCTCTCACACACACACACACACACACACACACACACACACACACACACACACACACACACACCCCTCAGACCTCAGACATGCCCATCGCGGAAGCGATGGTAGCGAACAGCTATGTTAGACATTGCAACTTGTGCTGGGATTACACCATTCAACAACTTGCAAGGCTGATGAATTGACCGCCACTATTTTTAGCCCGGTAGCAGCTGTTTGAAGTGACTTTTTCTGGCCAGTGAATCCCTATTTTTCATTTTTCCATATTTTTTCTACACACACACACACACACACACACACACACACACACACACGCACACACACACACACACTTGACATCCATCGCCTCTGGCGATGATAGCGATGCTACAGCAGAAGCCATAGCAGCTTGTGCTGGGATAGCATCATTCGACAGCTTGCAAGGCTGAAGAATTGACCACCACTATTCAGCCTAGTCTACACCACACAGCTATGAAGTGGCTTCTTCTGGCCAGTGAATCCCTATTTTTCGGTCTTTTTTATAATATTGTTTCCGCACACACATCACACCACATACTCCGGCATGCACTGGCTGTTGGTAACCACCCAGGAGAATGAAAGAAGAGCTAGGAGAATGAGAAAGAGAAGAAAGACGTGTGTGATCATAATCCCCCCCCCCACACACACACACACATACCGCCACACACATGCCTGGCAAAAAATCCCTACCTGCAATAGAGTTGCATTTCCAGCACCGGTCAAGCGCGAATAGTTCAGATAGAAAGCTGACGCTAAGTCCAGTTCAAGGTTTGTTGCTAGCCAGGACATGGCTAATGGTGGAGGACAGACTGCTGCGGCTTGGGCTGGAGAGTTCTTATGAGCACCAGCAGCAATGCCGCTACTGGTTTTGCCAATTTTGACAGGTGGACCGGCGGTCGCAGCAACACCAGCAATACCAGCAGTACCGTGCATCAGGCCAGAAAGGCCATACGTGGATGCAGCTGCTGCACTCATACTACTAGGAGTACCGCCACCACCACCTAGAGATGCTGATGAGATGGTACCTGCTGCTGCTGCTGCTGTGCCTGCAGAACCCAGCATGTCCATGTGTAGAGTAGAGATAGGGTGATACCCTGCCTCACCACCTACGCACACAGACAGACAGACAGACACACACAGATGTACACACACACATACACGCACGGATAATGAGAGCAGGTGAGTGATGAAAACTGCAACAACCACAGTAACTACAAGTGTACAGCACTTACGCAGCAGTGCGTGGTCCAGTACCAGCAACACTACCACTTGTGCACCATCATCACTATCATGACCAGCATCAGCATCAGCATTGGCAGCACCATCGCCACTATTACCACCACCACCCTCGCCACACACATTTCCTCAAAATGATGAGAACACACATGTGTGCGTGTGTGTGTGATGGCAGATGCAGTACTGAAGATGAGTATGTATGCTATGTACCTGTTGCTCCTCCGGCAGTAGTTGCTGCTCGACTACCACTAGTACTGGCCGTTGTGGGACTTGTCATACCAAACGCTGCCAGCATACCCTCCGCCAAACCGGGAGAATTCGGAGACGGCATCATAGCAGCGAAAGGGTTGTGTAAACTACCCGCCTCCAGTCCGACTGTCTGCTGCTGATGCACTGATAACGTTGCCCCTGCCCCTAGTGTTCCTAGGGCTGCTGCTGCTGCTGGAATATGAGCAGTATTACATGGCACACTGCCAGTGTGGAGTAATGTGGACGATGCTGCTGCTACTGGTGCTGCCGCTCCTGGTAGTGTTGACGGTGACAGCATGCCTAGCTGTACGGGTAGAGAGTGAAACAGAGAGCTAGCTGCAGCTGTTGCCGACGCCGCCGCCGCTGCGGTCATAGACTGTTTGTCTGCAACACTGTGTGTATCCAAGACACACAGCTCAGCCCATGGTAATGATGAACCACTGTCGTGACAAGCACTGTTGCTGGTAGCAGCACTACTTCCAGACAAAACGGACGGGGATACATCTTGCTCTTGATGCTGATGTAGCTTGTCACTGGAAGTAAGATCTGCACGCAAACAACACAAACACCCACACCCACAGCAGCAGCAGTGGCGGTGGCAGCAGCAGTGGCAGCAGCGGTGACAGCAAGCACACAGTTGTCCAACCTTCCAGTCTACAACAATCACAACACTTTGGTTATCAGAGAGACCAACTTGATGCCATAAAGTAAGCAAGATACACGTGTACAGAGGAACCTTTCTAAGACGACCGCTCATGGGACCTTCAAAACGTGGTCTCCTTATACAGGCTCATTTGACTGGAAATAGCATCCCTTGGTCCTGGTTTCAGTGGTCTTCTAGGACAGGTGGTCGCCTTACCCGAGTGGTCGCCTTTACAGGTTTTACTGTATTTTGAGGAACAAGCTAAGCAGGGTTTGTTCCTGTACAAGCCTATGCGAGGGATAGGCTTGCATTCAATCCAGCTATCCTATGTACTTCAAAACATAACCCCAAACCAAATCTTCAACACTAGGCTTGTTGTGTTTGAGCGTGGCTGGTTAGGATAATGGTACACGTTGTCTCTCTTACCTTTGTCTATTGTCAGCTGCAGAGAGGCAGGCACATGTACACTGACGACACTGACTGACAGTAAGTCAGGCTGAAGACTTGAGGGGAGCTTTTGACACGCGCCGCACTTCGCCCAGACCTGTCCGTCAAACACAGCCGATATGGATTTGCTACTCAGGACTTCTTGCCAGGCTGCAGGCACACGCACACACGCACATGCACACACACGATCACAGAAGAAAACAGACGGTGGAGCAGGTACACGTATGTTATAACAGCGGACTTATTTCACCGACGAATAACGCCATCAAGGCAGACGAACTACAGTGCATTCGAGTTTTTTCAGATTTTTCTACAAACCCCTATGGAATCCTCTGATTTTTCTACAAACCCCTATGGAATCCTCTGATTTTTCTACAAACCCCTATGGAATCTAAATAACCGACGAGGAGACAATAGTCGTAAAATAGCAATGAAAAATATCAATTGTGCACTCATAACCATGTATAAACAATTAAAATGAAACAATTCCAGAACGTTTTCGTGTGACCATCATCAGTGGAACATCGTCACATAGTAAGAATCACTAATACAACCAGTTATATAGCTAGAGTAATATGAAAAGAAGCGTGAGAATGCAGCACAGCTAGCGGTTATGCATAACGCGTGTAGTGTGAACCTTTGCAGTGTATCTGAGAATGGTAGCAGTAGATGAATGTGGCAGCTGTGAGTGCGTGTGAACAAAACAAGAGCAAGTCTGCCATCTACAAGCATTTGGTGTCCAGTCCGGATTGTCGTAAGTTGTTTGACGATTCCTGGTTTAGTGTTATTTGTCGCGCGCGTTTCTTTAAGCAGTTGCAGGTGTTGGAAGCTGTATATATTCGCACACGTGACCCTGTTCTATGCAAGCAAAAAGAAAATGTTGTAGCACTCACACTTTTTAAATAATACGCACTCACCAGTTTTTGTTCACACGCACTCACAGCTGCCACATTCATCTACTGCTACCATTCTCAGATACACTGCAAAGGTTCACACTACACGCGTTATGCATAACCGCTAGCTGTGCTGCATTCTCACGCTTCTTTTCATATTACTCTAGCTATATAACTGGTTGTTTTAGTGATTCTTACTATGTGACGATGTTCCACTGATGATGGTCCCTATGGAATCCTTTGATTTTCTACAAACCCCTATGGAATCCTCTGATTTTTCTACAAACCCCTATGGAATCCTCTGATTTTTCTACAAACCCCTATGGAATCCTCTGAATTTTCTACAAACCCCTATGGAATCCTCTTCCAGTGTGCAAGAATGGTTTCAGACGGAGAGCCAAGGATACATTTATAGTAAAGAAAAAAGGATCAAGAAACTACAAGTTACGCTATTATGTCCACTAACATCACCAGTTACTAAACAATCAGCTCAAGATGTGCTAGAGCTGTTAACCAGTTAGTTGTAGAACGTCAGCACCGTCGGTCAGTGTCACAAATCTGAAAAGACACTTGGCTTTACATCCATAGCTTTTCTCCTCAAGGAACAATACCAGACCAGGTGAGAATGGAACAGCCACGCAGACACAAAGCAACATTCACATAGACTACACACCGAGCAAACAGAGCACACACAGAGTACACAGAGAGCACACAAAGAGTACACAGAGACTATACGCAGACCAGGCCATGCTTACCAGAGATGTGCTCGGCAGAGAGAGGCCCAACATGGCAAAACACAAACTTCCATGAGAGCAGAGTATGGGAAATGAACTTGGTGGCAGAATTGAACAGCTCCTGGTATGCAACCGTGAGTTGAGTGCCGTCACTGCTACTGCCATTGTCACTGCTAGTAGCAGCAGAGTCCATACTACCAGCAGCACTCATGGTGGACCTAACAAGGACAACAAAGCCGTCAACGGTGGAACAACATCAACAGCAACACAGATGTTCAAATCTGCCTTATGGGTAGCATGTACAGTGTCATACAGTGCTTATGGGTAGCATGTACATAGTCATACAGTGCTTATGGGTAGCATGTACATTGCCATACAGCGCTTATGGGTAGCATGTACATTGCCATACAGCGCTTATGGGTAGCATGTACATTGCCATACAGCGCTTATGGGTAGCATGTACATTGTCATACAGCGCTTATGGGTAGCATGTACATTGCCATACAGTGCGTATGGGTAGCATGTACATTGCCATACAGCGCTTATGGGTAGCATGTATATTGCCATACAGTGCTTATAGGCAGCATATACAATCATGTACATTCCCATAAAGTGCTTATGGGTAGCATGACACATATATAGTCCTACAGTGCTTATGGGTAGCATGTACATTGTCATACCGTGCTTATGGGAAGCATGTCCTGCCGTGGACATGGAAATCCGGCCGGAGATCAAGCGGCCCCAGGGCGCTGGCCATGCAGCCGTGAGTACGCATGCGATCAACACGCGCATTGCGCATGCAACGTTCTGTACGGACTGAGGGCGCCGGCCCCGCGTCATTCGACCGGATTTCCACGCCCACGACAGTACATTGCCATTCAGTATTTTTAGTAGTGTTCATGGGTAGCACGTACACTACTATACACTGCTATACACTGCAATACACTGCAATACACTGCAATACACTGCGATACACTGCGATACAGTGGACATCGACCAGTTCTTCAGCAAGCAACGCCAGCAGCATATATATACCGGCTGGTAATACGTGAAACTCAGAGTTGTGACAAAGCTTCCAATCTCTCTTGTATACCGGCTGAAAAGCTGTCAACATTCTTCACACCACGGCAACGCATACTGGTACATGTATGACTGGAAAAACAGAAGCCAGTGCGACCATCATGACCTGTGTCCAGAGCAGCAAGGAGCTAGCACAAGCAAACCACGAATGAGCCCACGTGCTGTACATGTACATGTTCTGGCACATGCACATGTACACAAAGTCAATAAAGTAGAAACTAGTATCCTATTTCCAATAGCTGTGCAGTCACGACAACGTTGCTTACCTTCTTGTTGCACCAGTTGCGCCAGTAGCAGCAGCAGCATCAGCAGCAGGTGTTGCTAGCTTGAGCGTGAGGGTACGCTGCTGTTGACCAGTACTGTCCATGAGGCTAGCACACACGGTGTTACCCTCCACCCAGCCGTAACTACAGTACAACACCGATGCCTGCTTCTCTTGTGTGCAGTCTTGCCTGCTACTGCTGCTACTACTATGCTGAGCAGGACCACCCAGAGCCCTACCAGCATGACTAGACTCACTAGCAGCAGAGGAGGCATGGTGGTGGCCTTTACTAGTTGTAGATGAGATAGAGGCTGGTGAGGCGGCTGCGGGTGAGGACGTAGAGAGTAGCAACTCCTTGATGGGAGTGCTAGTGGCTGAGCGTCCAGTCTTTCTCTCTCGCTGCGCTAACACATCACTATGGGAACTGGGAGATGGCTGCTGTAGAGTCGGGTGGCGAGATGACGCAGCAGCCGCCGCTGATGATCTCAGCCATGCTATGCTACTCGGAGCCAGGACAAACGGAGAGCACTGGAGCAGCCGTGGTGACACCTATGACACAGCACGCACATGCACATTCACATACGGACACACGTAAACAGCAGCGTGCACACAAAATGAAATGGTGAGAAATAATGAGAATCTAACAAAACAAAAACAAAAGAACTGGAATATTTGTTATCACTACATCAGCAACAGCAGCAACAACAATAGCAGCAGCAGTAGCAGCAGAACCAGCAGCGGCGGCACATCGGGAAGCAGGAAAATATGTCATGGTCCAAAGCTCACTTTATGAACACTTTCCGGCATCTGTAACATTGGTAAGAAATGAAAAACAGTACAGTTTCAAATGCCTATACAGATGCACCCCCCCTCCACACACACACACACCCGCGCACTTGCGAGCATAATGCACGTACACCAACATACCTTGGCTTTATGTGCAGCGCAAAGGAGTTTATGGCGCTCCGTGCTAGTCGCAAAGTCAGTCAGCGCTTCAAATCGGGTTGCATCAGTGAGATGGTCCATAGCTTGGCGAAACACATTGGCTGCCAGTTGCCTGGAGCCATCCGACCAGACCACGGTATTACCGGTGTCTACCTTAGTGCAAGATTGAGATAAGGATGAGAAGCAGGATGAGGGCTGACATGGTCGCGAATACATGTCCACACCATCTAGTACTTGCGAGTCCAGTACAATCTATTAGCAACACGAACACAGACCAGAGTCCAGTACAATCTATTAGCAACACGGATACAGAACAGAACAGACTAGTCAATACATGTACCTGTAAGGCTGGAACAGCAACAGCAGCCATGACAGTAGGCTGATGAGCAACAGCAACAAGAGCTGCAGCAACGTTTACGCCATGCTTCGTTGTGCCACACTCACATCAAGTCTTACTGTCTCAGGCTTCGTGCAGCAAAAGCAAGACACTCAATTATAGCTAAACATTCCATTTGTAGAAGGCTAAGTAACTCACACATATAGAGAATACAGCTAGCTGCCCAGAGATTAAATGGATACAATATACATATAGACTGTGCCCTTCCGCTCAAGTAACTTACTTAACAGTTAGACCCTGAAGTGAGGAGACACATGCACAAGCACATTGATAATGCATGCACAACATACACTTCCAATAGACAATGTACTGTAGCGGACATTAAACATCCATTGAGCAGCCAAGCGGCCACGGGGTGCTGGCTTTGCAGCCGTGAGCACTGCTGGTCCATTTTTACAGTGTATACATGAACTACAGTGCGTGTACGTGCTAAAAGCAGTAGGGGCGCCGGCCCCGGTCGTCCCATCGAATTTCAATGTCCACAATAGTACATGTACATGCACGCACACACGCGTACGCACACACGCGTACGCACACACACACACACACGCGCACACACACGCGCACACACACACGTGCACACACACGCGCACACACATACAGCACGCCTATCCTCCCACCTGTATCTGTATAGAATGCCGTCGGAACGCTGGTTCAAGTTGGTTGATCCAGTCCAAGACGATTTCCATGCACCGCTCTCCTTCCTTAGCCGCACTAGCGCTACTGGCAGTGCTACCTGTGGCAGTAGCAGCAGGAGCAGAGTGTTGCTGTGATGAAGAATGCACTCTTCTACTGGGCATAACCAAGTAGAGCACTAATTGATCTGATAGATCATCCGACTGCATCGATTGATAATCCATATTATCCACAGCCTCGGGCCGACAACGAGCCAGCACTCTTTCCATGCACTCCATCATTTCCGACACTGTGCGAAACACAAACGACACCCACACACCCACACCAACACACCCACACACACATAGTGGGTGAAAAGAGAAAAGCACAAATTGAAGTTTAAGATAGATAGATGCAGGTGTCTACTGGAGAATGTATCAACAACACAGGACCTGTCAGCATAGCAGATATACATGCAAGGTGTGCAGGAACAACATATGCTGGCGAAACCTGATCATGTGACCGGCTGGTTTCTAAGATCACTATTCTCCAGCACTGAATGTGCTCAACGTGCTTACACCACCTGTGTTCAAAGATCAACATAGGATGGTCATATGGCCAGGCGATCAAACCAGATATCAATATAGGCTGGTCATACGGTTAGGTGCTGAAATCAGGTCTCCACTCCCTGCACCCCCCCCCCCCCCCCCCCCCAGCCACAACCCAGTTGTGGACTGCTACCAAACACAACATACTACTCACATCTTTTCCTGATGGACTTGGAGTCGACAATGACAACAGCTTCAGAATGAGAGTTGTACCGCAAAGGGCTGTGGCCGCCAAAGTGGCAATCCTGAAACAACGTTACAAGCATCAGCAGCATGAAATGCTGGTATTCACATTCTCCACCTCAGCCCAACACCTGGGCGATGACCATTCTAATCTTCTACATAGTGTTTGTCCACTCTGAATCGGTCCTGGCACCGATCCTGGCTTTTAGATTGGCCAGTGTAGGAACATGCATGGGAAGTATGTGCACCCTCACAGCATTTCAGAAGTCAACAGGTACAGGCATGATGAAATACAGTGAGTCTACCTACTCATACATAACATACTAAGGGGTCGTCCGCAATTATCGAAAGTTTTTTCCAATCCGTAGTAGCTTCGAAAGTGGGTGGGTGGGTCAAGGCCAGTTACGGATTGAAAAACTTCCGAAATGACACGTGCGCGTGCCACGTGTACGTCTACGTGTAGCCCCTGTTTTCCACGCGCGGCTGCGCGCGAAGTGTCTACAGGTAGACTCCCTTTAATTCGAACCTCAAATTGCCAGGCCCTAACTTCGATTTATCCGGAACTTCTATTTATCCAAATGCAGCCCCATGCAGTGTAATGTATGTCAAAATGCTTGAAATCGCATGCTGAATATTTTTTGCACCTTCTTATTTGCATCAACGAAACATAGGTGGTTGTGTACGCGTACCGGTCATGTACAACGGATCATCAAAACACTGGATCGACACAAAATCATTTGACATTAATTGTCTTCATCTTCTAGTTCGGAAGTTGTCAGTCACTGCAGCTTTCCTGAAACAATTTCAACGGAAAAGAACTGCGCTGCCTAATCCGCGTCATGAAAGGCCGTCGGACAGCAGCACGTCGTTCTGAAAAACGGAAGTGGAGCATAAGCATAGACAATATTTACAACAATAGTGTTGTCGTGCGCCAACATCTCCGCGCACCAGCTGGCGCGGCAAGAAAGGCCATCGAGATCCGCGAAGAGAGTCGGCCACCTGGAAGAAGTCGTCTTCAATCAAACCTTTGCAATTTGCCTCGCACGGGCTTGAATCAAATTTCGAGAGAAGGTGGGTTTCTTGAACGCTATTAGTCGATCCTGCAGTGGATCATCGATCGATTTTTGAGCTACTCTTGGCTAGAGAAGGAGAAAAGAATGAACTTCGAATTACAAGGATAGCAACTCAATCTCACTTCGAAATAAGCGTTCAAAGGACATAGCCAATGTACTGTAAACAGCTCTTCTGTACGAAGATTGGGTTCGAATTATCCAACCGGCGCACTTTTCGTACTTCGAATTATGCATTCGATTTTGACTTGAAGTGACTTGCAGAAGATCGGTACGACGAAAAAGTTCGAATTACACGGAATCTTCGAATTATACCGTATTCGAATTAGAGGGAGTCTACCTGTACTACATAATATTTTTGTATTTCTGGCAGTTTCTGCGCCCCCGCGCGCGCTTCCTTGGCTGCTCCTAGATCCTGGGCCGGGGATCATAAAGTTCGGCGCATTCGACGGCGAGTCGACACTTTCTATTTTTTGAGTTTCACTGTCTCCTTCGTCCAGAGTACCGTCTTCCATGCACTCCTTTGAAGTCCTTCCGTCTAGCGCTGGCGCTGACGACTGTTATTGACTATTTCCAGACAGGCGACGTTGTTTGGAACGGCGGTGAAGAAGCAGAACAAGAACATTTCGGTGATCACCAATTAAACATCAATATGGTAGTTGTAATACAATACATGATGTCACTATGACTCATGGGCCAGCACTGATTGAGTTTGTTCCATATGTGTTGGGTTTGTTTGTCCATCAATAATATTTTATTACGGACTGAGGGGGTGGGTGGGTGAGGAAAAATTTGAAGCTACTACGGATTGGAAAAAACTTTCGATAATTGCGGACGACCCCTAACTAAACATACGCTGACTGGATTTGAAAAGAATACCATCCAAAGTAATTGCAAACATTGGAAATCTTAACTTGACAAGCACCATCAGAATTGATGTGATCTTCTAAGGCTACCTGCTGCTGCGCATATGCAGATCACAGTAGTTACCTGCTGTACACATGTACATGTAGATCACAGTAGCTGAAGAAAACAAGCTCACTAGCTAGAGTGTGGATAAAGTCTTCAAACACACCAGCTCTCCAGCCACTCTGGTAGGAGTCAGGATACGGCAACAAGCCAGTACCCGGTGATGAACTTGTTTCCCAGATCAAGGAACCTCTCGAAGAATTCTTTTTAACAAGATCAACATGCACCTTTCTGGCTCATTGACCTGTGACAACACGTTGATACTCAAAACTGCTGTAGGGCTACGCAATAACTACCTTGTAAGTCAGCAATACAAAGAGACACGTTTGCAGCATACTAACTAACCTTGAAGACATAAGACACATCTCTGAAGAATGTCCTACACAGGTCATAATCCACGCTACTATCCTCTGTGACCAGTGCAACATAATGTAGCCGACACTGCGGCGTCACCGACTGCAGAACAAGCTTCTCCTGCAAATCAAAGAAATACACGGGAAAACAGCAGGACAGCACGTGTGTGGGAACACACAGAACCACACACACGCACACACGCGTGCATGCACATGCACATACGGATCATAAGAACACTCAGCACTTAAGGCAACACAAGTTTCACATGCACAAGGCAATGACAAGCCAGTGACATGCAACACTGACAAGCAATGCGTTAAAAGCACGATGTTTTTCTTGGGTTTTGTCAGGAGTCTATACTTTTCCATTCCCTTAGCTAATGAACCCTTTTTGGAAGGTTGTTGCGTAGCGCTATGGAGCAGTGCTCAAGCTGACTTTCATGCCGCGGAATGTCTCAGTACTCCTTGTCAGTTTTGTGCTAGATTGTGCACGTCTGACTGTTCAAAATCTGGTTTTGTTGGTGGACTCGAACGCATAACTTGTGCCCACGTTTTTCCATGTTGCAACACTTTTTTTAGTTCGTTTAGATCATAAAAGGTCAACTTGCTGATGAAGTACGGCATGAAGCAGCCCAGCCAGTACGATGTGTAAAGAGAGAAAGTAACACGTTAGTTGACTATGGCAAGATGACAAAAAAAGAAAGTTGGCTATGGCAAGATGACAACTGTCCCTTACCCAGTAAGGTAGTACGAATGGTGATGCAGAGACCAGATCATTCTCATATCCCACCAGAAAAGCGGGAATTCCAAGCTGATAACACGCAAGATCTGCATGTTACAAGAACAGCAACGACAGCAGCAGCAGAAGCAACAATTTAGCATCACCAGTGAATCAGCGCCAACAGTGAGACACAAATTAAAAACGTACATACACACCATCCGCCATCGATAACAGCAACCATGTTGCCTTTCATCCGAATAATCAATCCTAGACAGAAACTGCATTGGAATCGCATCTTTGCACCACAAGTATGTGAGCAGATGGAAAACATTTGTACCTGAGAGAGAGAGAGAGAGAAGAGAGAGAGAGAGAGAGAGGGAGAGAGAGAGAGAGAGAGAGAGAGAGAGAGAGAGAGAGAGAGAGAGAGAGAGAGAGAGAGCCCCCCCCCCCCCCCACCCCACCCCCACACAAAGGTAGGGGGAGATAGGCAGAGGGAGAGAAAGCACAACACGTAACCAACTTACTCGTGCCTGGTAAACATGACTTCAGATCATTCCAAGCCATGGCTTGGCCACCAGCTTGCTGATGTGTCGGTAGTTGTTGTTGCTGGTGATGCTGCTGCTGCGGTTGTCTTGTTGTTACGCTGATACTGGTGGTAACATTGCTGGCTGTCGCTGCTGAGCTTGTTCTACCGCTTGCCATGACTGGGAGTACTGCAGTCGATGCTGCCGCCGCTTGTAAGACATTGACAACCACTGAGAGTGAGTGGTGCACATGCTCCACAGCGTCGTGTAGCTGACAATGAGACGCCGATAATACTTCAATGCCATGCACTGGACAGCAGCAGCAGCAGAAGACGAAAGAACACACAGAAGAAGCAAGAGACGACTGTCAGACACACCAGTTGCAGCGAGGTAGATGCAGCTACAATGTAGTTAGTGAAGCTGTCATGATGAGAAGCTATGGCGGGTGGAAACCCGTCGGGGGCAAAACGCTTTCCCAGACACAGAGCATCGACAAAACATGTACGCCTTATACACAAAGTACAGATGCAGAAATCCTGTAGATGGGTACAAGCTCAATTGGGTGTGTTTTGTAACACATGCTCTTATACCAGTTTTGCCCATCAGTGCTTTTCTCCAGCTTCATCAAGCTGAACATCGCCAGTGAGTTCCTGGCTGCTCTATTAAGCTCACGCGCACGCTCACACACACATACACATACACACACACACACACACACACACACACACACACACACACACCATGTACCACACAAACACACTGCAATGAACATCCAGTAAAACATAACATTCCCAGCACTATCACCAACAACGACAGGAGAGAAAAAAAGACAAGAGAGAAAGACAGTGAGACAGACAGTGAGACAGACAGGCAGAGAGAGAGAGAGAGATGAGTACTTACATTCATACTTGCTGACCATACCGCTGATGCTATCCTCATCCAACTGACTGCAGAATGTTGAGCGCTGACAGCACGTTTGCAAGACATTCGCTATCAACGACTGCTGCACATTGCTCAACGCTAGCGTGTGTGGTTGGAGCTGCTTTAGACGCAATGCTTCATCAGTGATAGTCAGCAGTGACTGGAGGTGGTGTCGACTTTTCAACACGCTCCTCATCAGAGCAGAGCTGCCGATGCCTGCGGCAGTTGCAGAGCCGCTCTTTAGCCCTGTCCTGATCTGGTGTGATGCACTGGCAGTAGTCCTAGTAGCAAAGCTCCTATCCTGGCCAGACGCCTTGCCTCTACCGTCATCACTAGACACAGTGGTAGCGGTAGCAGCGTGTAATGCTTGTGTTGCAGTGGGCGCACGCCATGGCATTGACCAGGGTAGTGGCGACGACAACGACGCACAACTAGCATGTTCTGCCGTGCACACATCCTCAAAGATCAAGAAGAAGTCCACACTGTCCACCACCGCAGATGCGGCAGCAGCACTGCCCCCGAGGTTGGCGGCAGGAGCTGGTGATTGTACGGCGGATTGCAACGAAGACTCAACAGACGCAGAGCCCTGTGATCCGCTAGTACACATAGGTGTGTATGTAACTGTTGAAGGCGACAGGAGAAATCCGGCAGCAGCAGCGGCAGCCGCCGCAGCCATTGCACCAGGAGTAGCCGTACCGGGTGCGGCAGAGCTGCCGGGAACGGTGTTGATAGGCGGAGGGACTACAAGTGTACCTGCCTTTCTGCCTGAGCCAGCAGCAACTCCATGCAGCATGCCAGCACTGACGGCAGCAGGCGAGAGAGGACTTTTCACCGATGCCAGGACTTCTCCGGGTGTCAGCGCTGCCGTACCTGGCAACTCCCTAATAACAAGGGCAAACACATGGATAAGAACAGCAGCAGCAGAACACAGTAGTAATCACACTCGGAGGCAGAATGGCACCGACCCGGGTTGACTAGAATCTGTTGCGCCAGTATCAATGAGGTCCTCAGTACACGTATGGCGCATATCAGTGTCATTTTGCACCTTTTCTCCGCGTGTTAGCACATAGCATGTCTGTTACCGAATCTTATGAGCCCCAAACCAAAGGAAATAGTTGAGCGTGGTCTTGATGCCAAACTGGAGCATGATAGGAACACTGTTGGCGAGGCTAGGGGCGTTCTTGGGGTGCTGTATGCTCTGAAAGCACGTGGAAGATGACGAGCAGGAAAGGAGCTTTCCAATAAGCCATAAATTGTGAAAATCCGTTGGGAAACAATAATGTTGTGACAATTTGTTTGTTGCTATCTCCACAATTGTACTGATGCACTGAATCACAGTGCCCAGACGTAGTAAATGCACTGTGACCCTGAAAGGGTTAACCTTTTACCGTTTGTACGTACAAATTTCGACCGCTCGCGGTCGATGACTTCTATGCGCACAACGCTGGACTGGTTCACCGCAGAGAGCTGGGATTTTCCCTACTGGTAGCCAAGTTGTACGGGCAGAGGATGCCGACAATTTTTTTGTGTGATGCAATACAAAAAATGGCGAAAATCGCGACTCGAAAAATGCGCTTTGGGAAAAGTGCGTACCCTGCAACTTTTGGTATTGCCTGCAGATTATTTCGACTTTTGCTTGAGCTGGCCTCACGACTGTCTGCCCTGCTGTGCAAGCCATGGACGCGGAGCAAGCTCTTTCGCTTCTGGAGACCCTTCCTGACGACTCTGTCGCTGCCTCATCCAGCGAAGATGAGTTTGTGGAGCCAGACAATCCTGTTGAAAATATTTATTCTGACGACGACCGCGATGATGACATGGCGAGTGAAAGCAGCGCCAGTGAGAGTGACATGGATGTCACAGACGACGACAGTGTCGCTGAGATGAGTGCCACTAATGGTGGAAGGGGACGTGGCAGAGAGAGAGAGGACTCGGCCGTGGGTAGGCCGTCGTCACGGTAGAGGTCGTGGTGCACAGGTACTATGTACAGCCAGCGGTGCAACCTGCACTAGTCGATATTTGCAATACTTGGGACAATGCTGACACCGCTGTGACTGGTAACACTCCTGCATTCCACCCAGAGAACGAACCTGGTATCCACTTACCTGAGGCAGCCACTCCAGTGCAAGGATCTGATTTATTGCATATTGCAACAGTTTGCCCGATCGGCAATAAATCCAAATAATTATTAGTGCTAAATTGTGAAATCTGTGTTCGTTTTCTGGACTTGAAAGTTGTTGCATCGCATTCCTGAGGGTTTTTACTTTCAGAATCACCCCATTTTGTACATAATAAAAGTGAAAAATAAAAAAGTTACGGCATGAACAATGACGGTCGGTTTTTGCTGTACAAATACCTAAAACGGTAAAGGGTTAAATAAAAACCACTAATTAAATAGGAAGCATGTAATGCTTACATTGTAGTGGAGCTCGCATCGTCAATAGTTTGTTCGTTAGAATGATGTTTGGCCTGTAACGGCAACAGTAGCAAGAGAAAGGAAGGCAGGCAGACAGCAGAAAATCAGACAGGCCGACAGACAGACAGACAGACAGACAGGCGAGCAGAAAAGCAGACAGACAGACCGATAAACAGACAGACACACGCACACACCCATACATACGAATACACATGTGCATGCACACATCTCACACTGTTATTTTCGTTGTTCTTGGAAGCGATACACCAATGTCACAGTCAGACAGAAGTGAACCAGAAACTGAGAAAGAACAACACCAATTCATGTCATGCCAATAATCATTACAAATTATCTCAAACCAACAAGTAGATCTCAACTGAACTAGCCACAATTCAGTACATCATTGACAACAGACGGCGACAAAGAGGTCTCCGTTTCTAGCCCTTTTTAATAACATCTACAGCCCACTACTACTGTAGGAGAGTAGAGCCAGGCCCTACAGGGCTACAGACTATGTAAGTCAACACACATGGAGAAGTTAAGCTGCACCACAGGTCCCGCACAGCAGCAGCAGCAGCACACCACGCAAGTAGATCATACTACGTAGTAGTCTACTACAAGCAGGCCATAGACAAGCAGGCCATAGACAAGCAGGCCATAGAAAAACAGGGCATAGACCAACAGGGCATAGACCAACAGGGCATAGACAAACAGGGCATAGACAAACAGGGCATAGACAAACAGGGCATAGAAGGCAACAGCAAGTTACCTGATAGACGTAGAGTCTAGACTTGGCAAGAAGACTGCTGCTGCTGCTGCCCTTGGTTGCACTGTCGACCGCCACAGTAGTACCAGTACTACTACTACTATTGAAGTCATCATCCACTTGACTGGGTAGAGATACAGTAGCATACATCTTCAGTGCTACACTCTCCACAAAATCAGACCCCGATGACGTCGGTGGTGAGGTCAGACCAGACAGACGCTGCTGCTGCAGCATCTGCATTGGAAAAGCCGCAAACAGCAAACAGCAGCAGCGGCAACACACAGAAGCAGCAGAATTACAGGTAGAGGAAAGCTGTGGAACCTTTTACAAAACTCTCGTCACAGCGAGTTTTCAGTTACGTCATCTTTCAAGATGTAATCCACTTGATTGAACACAAAACACAAAACAGCACTGCCTGTGGCCTCGCATCGCCAATACATGCACAAAGCTGATTAGATCATGAAAGGTGAAAAGTCTACCAAAGACAGTTTTGACAGCTATAGACCTTATTCGATAACGTGATTTTTGGACTCGCCTCCAGGGATTTGTCATAAGCTAGGGCACGCGTACGAGAAACGAGTGGCAAGAAAGGCCCATTTCGTACAAAAGAGTAGTAAAATACCGGTATTTATCTACTCCTATGTTCGCACACAGAGTCCACTGTGCACTGAGAGCAGATCTCTTGCCACTCCCTGGTTCCCGGGACCCCGGTTCACGTGACTGTGACGTTTATCGAATAAGGTCTATGGATTTCTTGCCGCGCACAACACCTTTCTTGCGTCGACGGCGCATTGCCATAAAAGAGTATGTATGAACTGCGGTATGCATTGGCAAACACACATGCACAGAGCAAGCAGGTCGGTGCAGTGCACAGATTGGTGGAAGTCGGGGTTGAATTTCAAGTGCAGCAGTAGCAGCAACTATCCATCAAACTGAATGACAAGTACAGTACTGATCAATGAAATCCAGTCACCGCGTCACTCAAGTACGCGCCGGGCGTTGCGCAACCCTAGACCTGCGAACACCGGGCTGCGAAATGGCAAGGCGCAAACTTGAGTGACACTACTGGACTTCGTTGAGCAGCACTGTAGTAAAAGTGAACACCACATGAGCCACTGACCTGCTGCTGCTGCTGATGTTGCTGGTGTTGTTGTTGTTGTTGCTGTTCATTGAGTTGATGTTGTTGGCTGGTGTCCATGTAAGCAGTGGACGTATAGCTGCTGCTACCACCACCACTAAGCGAGTAGTATTGGCTTCCTTGGAAATGAGGCACACCTGGAGACGTTGCCCCTGCAGAAGCACTGCCCACAGCGTAATACCCCGGTGCGGAGAGTACACTACCACCAGGCAGAATAGCACCAGGGAGAGAATTAGCACTGCCAGCAGCAGTAGTCGTCACTGACGAGTCCGCAGTTGACGTAGAGGGCGGAGTTGGAAACATTCTGCCCAGCTCACAGTCCTCCACCAGTGATGGTCCAGCTGAAGCTCCCACCGCTGCTACCATGGAGACGCCGGAGAAACTCCTGTCCGTTGTTAGCGAGGGTGGCCGTTGAGCTGACGACTCGAACCCAGACTGAGGAATACTGCCTGGCTTAAAGGGCGTTTTCTGAACAGTGACAATCAAGAACCAAGAACACAAGCACGCACGCAGACACGAACCGAAACACGAACACAGACGCACGCACCAAAGGCAACATGAGGCACAACAAGTACCAATACCACTGCAACATAAGCGAGTTACTACAGTGCATTTCAAAACTATAGACGCGTAGGGTTTTTGAAATATTTCAAATTTGGCTGGAACTTTTTGAGAATAGTTTTCGGAATATTGCTCAGGATCGCTCCACAATTACTCTCATATAATTTCTAAAGGATTGGATAACAGACGCCCAATTTGGAAAAATTTATGCACAAAGTGATCACAGATTTTATGTGGTATAGATGCTGGCATAACGGTTTTTGCCTAGGTACGCGTCTATAGTTTTGAAATGGACTGTAGTACTGTAATTTCACAAATTTCCGGTGTACTTTTATTTTCGGTACTTTCGGTGCGTCGGTTTCATACCTAAAACTTCAATACACCGAACAAACACTAACACACGTAATCCAATAGGGAACTGCTTCTCTGTACCGAAATGTTCTGCTGTGCGCAGCATGCTCAAACTCCCCGCCACATGTACTCTGTCCGCTCAGTTTTCACACAGAGACCAGTCCATGTGAAGCGCGCTTTACACGGAAAACGGTATGAAAAATCTGTGTGAAACTTGATACCGTACCGTGGCGAGGTTTCCATAAGTACTTTGGTACGTTTTACCGTGCGGCAAAACTCACTAATAGTGCACAACTCCAGGCCTGATAACAGACAGCCTACCTCCCCTCCGGCACCTCTGTCATCTGCCTCCATTGCAGCAACTACAGCAGCAGCGGCTGCAGCAGTAGCAGCTGCCGGGGTAGATTCCTCATCTCCCGATTCGTCAGAGAACATCTGCTCAAAATCGTTGCGTGAGATTGTGATACTCTCGATTTGCGTGTAGTCTTTGCAGTCTTCTTTCTTCGTTGCAATTGGGACAGGACCATGAGGCCCTGCTGCTGTACTGCTGCGGCTACTAGCTAAAGATGTCGCTGCAATCCCAGTCCCAGCAACACTAGTCTCTGCAGCTCCAGCTGTTGGTCTGGACGCCCAGAGAGTTGCTGCGTGATGTGTGGAAGTGTTTACTATCGTACTGCTGTTGCTGCTGCTGCTGTCAGCCACATTTGCTACAGGATGCGCACCAGCGACAGACAGAGCGCCAGTACTTGCAGCTGAGCCACTAGCAGCAGTACTAGTAACCATACTAGGACTATCGACGGGGTTGTGACCTGTTCGATCCTCATCACTGGGTGGTGTCAGGATTTGATCAGAGACTAGCTGACACAACGAAGTCATGGCGATTGCTGTTAGACTGGCATGCGTTGAGACACCGCCGGCACCACTGCAATAGTACAGCAACAGCAAGAACACACACACACACATACACACACACACACACACACATACACACACACACACACACACACACACACACACACACATATATGATCATACCTGCTGCAAGTGTGAGACAGTGCCTGTACCTCCTCAAACACACAGCAAGATGTACACTGGAATAAGAACGTCTGCACTGGCAGAACTGCGGAACAGCTACAGGACAAAATTGTCAACAGCAGCAGTAGAAAGGAACGGCAAAAATACCAGCAATGGGGACAGCGGCTTTGGCAGCAGCAGCACCTGCAGTAGCAGCAGCACATGCAGCAATGGTTTCAGCAATTATGCCAGTATCAGCAGCAGCAGCAGCATTGCCTACAGCAGTAGTAGCAATAGCTGCAGCAGCATCAACAGCATCAGGACATCATCAGTAGCAGTTGCTCTACTGTTATGTCTTGAGTTCTTTGTGCCTCTTGGTTTTCTGCCCGTGAAAGTGGCTTCTTCCCCAATTACAGCAGCAGCAGCACACACTACTAACAGCATGAGACATACTGAGACATACCTGTGCGAAGCTGCGGTGCTGGTGAGAATAGAGGGCACGGGTAACTTGCCATCAACACCAGATACGTCGACAAACCAGGGAGAGAGATGATTGACTGCCACGTCATTGACAGCTGGCAGTTTATACAGACCGACCAGCTTCGCCGCTATTGCTGCATGTGATGACTGAGGTGTTGGTGGTCGAGGAGTTTGCACATCGCTACTCAATTCTCGACTAGTACACGAGGCAGCAGATGGCGGTGGTCGGAGATTGGAAGCAGCAGGTGACTCAAATGGCTGACGTTCAACTGAAGTGGGGATGTTGGATGTAGGAGAAGCAATGGTTGCTACTCGATCATCATGCCGTCTTAGAGTACTACCTGCAAACAGCGATGGAACATGAGCAAGACTGCCATCTACTGCTGGTGACAATGTAGCTGCAGCAGCAGCAGCAGCAACAGTAGCTACAGGCAGGGATGAGCTGCCTTGCTGCTGTGAAGATGGCACTGTTGCTGCTGCAACCGCTGCTGAGGGAGATCCTTGAGCAGCTTTCTCTATAAGGGCAACCACATCAACCTACAAATAAATAGAACAGCAACACCAGGCACACACGCATACACATACGGGTATACACATACACACATACACACACACACACACACACACACGCAGACACACACGCACGCACGCACGTAAGGACAAATGCGGTAGTTCAAAGCTTTGAAGTAGCAAGTAGCTACCCACACGCTACGTACAATACAAGCAACCGCCCCAAAGACTACTAGTAGCGACAAGCAGGTACAGTAAATATACAAAATTTCGGCACTTCACGATTTTTGACATTTCGGCGGCGATTTATTTTCGGCGCGGGGTAGAGGGCATGGTATAGTGCGACAGATGCTGTGAAAAATTTCATCGGCGTTTTAATTTAGGCGTTTTGGGTCGGTGCCGAATATAGCCGAAATTAAATAGCTGCCGAAAATTTGTATATTTACAGTACACAAACAAAAAAAGGAGTACGTAGAAACAACAATAAAAGCAACAGGCGGCAACACAATACGCCAGCACAATGTGATGTCAAAGTATTGCTTCAGCTTACCTCTTTCTGAGCTGCACCTGCCGCAGCCAAGAACGGTGACGGTATTGTAGAACTGGCAGCAGACGAGAAACGACATGACAGCCGTGAAGCTGGTCGTGAAGGACAGTTTACAGCTGCCACAATAGAAGCAGCGACACCACCACCACCACCGGCAACATTGGATTTACTTGCAGTCGGAAACTGGAAGCAACTGCCTGGAAGACCAAGATGCGAGTCAGACGTTACTGCTCCTGAAGCTGACCCGGACGTAGGTTTGACAAATGCGAGGCCAGGGTTGGACGATGTCCGCTGTCTGCTTCTCTTGTCTAGACGCCGCGTGAAGGACTGGCGGTTTGCTGGTCTTTTGCCGGAGTCCAAGCCTGCAGGGCTTGACGCTTGTGCCGCTGGTGTTGAGGAGGGTAGGAGAGTATTACCAGTAGTAGAACCTGCAGCGACACAGCTGAATACACAGTGCAGCACAATACCAACACCATTGTGAGAATGAAGACAGCAACAACAACAACCACAACAACAACAACAACCACAACAATAACAACCACAACCACAACCACAACAGCAGCAATACCAACAACAGATGACTGTTTTGAATACAATTCCGATCTTGAACACACACATGCATTAGGTATAATAAAACCGGGGTTTGCGTTGACACACATAGAAACACGTCTGGTTTGAATGGAAGTCTGGCCCTCAATTCTGCTCCCTAAATGAATATGCCCAACATGTATGCAGGACTTTACAGTATGTGATTGCAGTACTGTCCATAATTACCTATGAAAATCCCTATGTTGTATGCACTGGGGAGCGAGGGCAGATTTCATACGTGAATCTCTCTACGGATTTCCGTAGGAAAGCTCTTTCCTACGTTCGGCCCTCCGTAGGACTTTTTGAAATATTTTTTTCGAATTTTCCGCTTCTATCCATGGCAACGTTCAAGCGGTACGAAACGCAAGGTGCACATCACATGGAAGAACGTGGTTTCGGCTCGTGGTGCATGCGGTGGGTGCATGCAGCCAACGCGTCTCCAAAGCAACAATGCATATGCATGCTTAGCAGTAGCGGAGTAACCAGGTAGAGTGAAACGCACCGGCGCAGATCTTTACGTATAAAAGTTACATGCAGTTACTATGTTATTTTCAAATAGAATTACGTAAAGCGAAACCTCCCTAATGCCCCCCCCCCCCCCCCCCCCCCGCACACACACAAATAATGTATAAACACGTACCTTCTCCGTCTTTGTTTCGAGCCAGTGTAGACCATGTCCGAGTGAAGTCGATTAGCTAATCGATCGACAGTAGCTAGTTCGTGGGTGGCAGTGTGCCGAACGCCATACTCGTATGCAGCCGAGGCAGCAGGCACTGCTGCCGGGCATAGTGCTGTCAGGTCAGACAGTGGCAGCGTGGACTCGTCAACATGCTTATCAAGAGCACCGGTCGTGAGCAATACCAGCGCCGTGGGATAGGTCATATGGATACCAGCTATGGATATGTCTACAACATTGTTGACGTCCGGTGAGCAGTTCGGTACCGGGTAGAACGACCTCCACGTCTCTAAGCACTTGAGACTGCGACGATCTGACTGCACTGACGCGCCGTGCAGACGGGCAGGCAAACCCGACGGACTTAGGCGTACTGAGCGTGATACATAAGAATTGTCACGCAGGCCCATGGACATACAGGCAGCCATACAGACAGACCACATGGCATACACACCAGCAGAGACACACAAAAAACGAATTGTAAAAATGTGAGCGGCACGGGTAGAAATCACATCCGAGTGACACAGTGCCTTCAGGATTCGACTGGGGCTCGCTCGGCTCACTTGGACTGTCACTGCCAGCGGACCCCTCTGAGCTGGCAGCTGACGTGCAGTCAAGACAACTGGGTCACCGACCTTCGGCACGCAGCACCGCCATAACTAACAACTATTTCAGCCTTCGCACGTGCACCCAAACCTTTTTTCTCGAAAGTTTGAAAAGGGGGGCAACATGTGACTTGGGAAAATAAGACTGTCCCTCCTTGGCCTTGTGAGAACTGTGCTACGGGAAATCCCAATCACTTGCCCACAATGTTCACATGAGCTAATGGCATAGCTCACCTGGCAAACCATCTGCAGAAGCGCTGGCCGCCAATAAAGCTGCGGAGGTGACTGGTTGCAACGGTGTGCATGCTTGTAGTACATCCACCAGCAAAGACAAGTAGTAGGTGCCCATCAGGAACACTTGAAGCGATAACAACACGATGGAGTTACTGTGAAACAACAGCGGCGACAAGAACAGCATTCACAGCGCCAGCAAATGTGTGAGCGCATAATTAGTACGACAGCCATCATTTAGCTGAATTCTCGTTTGCCAGCAAAGGGAGGCGGTCATGCAGGTCATGCTCGACACAAAGGTAAAAAATGACGGTGAAGACAGGAATAGTTACATCACTACTCACTACTCACCCATATTCACGGTTCCGTAGTCCAGTCGCAATGTACTTGCCAAGGCGTATGTCTCCTTTCACCGTCAACAGTGACCTATAGTACACACAGACACGCATGCACGCGCACACACACACACACACACACACACACACACACACACACACACACACACATACACACACATGCGCTTGCATGTGCGAACAACACCCGCAGGCAATTCACTCATTCAGATTCAATCCCAACAGAAGATGAAATGGGAAACTTCATCTACAAATGCATGGATAACAAAGGTGTGTATAGGTAATTGTAACTTATTTTAGCACTCAAGTTCCAACAAATAAAAGAGTCTGACAGCTGATGATAGAACATCCGCATACATATACCAGTACAGCTTCCGCAGACAGCCTCAAGAATATACTACTAAGTCTACAAATTGTCGGCACATTTCAAATTTCGGCCTCCCAGGGCTAAAACCTGTCGGCCTCGCACAAATTTTCGGCCTGTTATGCTGCCGCCTGTATACACTGTCACACTGAACATAGGAAAACAAGATTTCGGCCGCAACAAATTTTCGGCCAAACATGACCAGGCCGAAAATAGCCAAAAATAAATATGCGCCGAATATTTGTTGACTTACAGTAGCCGCGTGGCTGCGCAGCCTTAGCACTGTGGACATTAGCCTGTCTAATGAATTACATCAGCTGTGGGAGTGCGCAGCCTTAGCACTGCGGCCACTAGCCTGTGCACTGAACACAACTGTGCTTTGTTGATTTGGTCGGATTTCACAAATCAGACCACCTCGGAAATCAGACCACTTTGCCCGGTGTGAAAGGCGGCCGGAACTCCGAGGTTCAGTGCGGTACTCCCGTGATGCACTGAGTCTATGAACTTGAGTCTGTGTCACACAAGTTTCACCAACCAGTATGGACTGTGTGCGGTGACAAGGTAGCACCGGATACATGATGGGCACAGCATGCAATAGGTACTAGCAAGAGTACATAACCCCCAAGAGTGTGCAACTGCCTGCACAACCTCTACGTAGTGCTGCGACGGCAGAACTTAACATCACGTGACATGGTTCAAAAGGTTACACTGGCAAACAGTGCAAAGTGACCACAAGAGAGTTGTACCCAAAGCTGGGTTGCGTACAACCCTGTATCAATCATGCACAGAGTGCAAATAATGTGTACGGGTTCATGTGAAGTTCTGCCGTCGCAGACCCCATAGCTGGTGTTGCACACTCTTGGGGGTTATGTACTCTTCGTACTAGTGCACTATATCGATCCTTGATGGACACAGTAGGAGTATACTAGTAGTTCACAGATACCGGTAGGTACGCATCAGGAGTGCATGTACATCGACACCCCCGAAAGTGCGCAGTCGTATGCACATTCCCTATCCAGAGGTGCAACAGCACAGTGTCACATCACGGGAGCCAGGCAACCACTGCACGACCATACCGATCAGTCAAGGGATGTGAGACTTCAATGCCACATGACCCACAGACCACAGTTCCATACTGCTACACTTCTGATAACATAATTCGCTACAATCCGCAAAATGCAAGTTCATCTCTACATCGAGAAAGCGGCAGCGGGCAAACCTGTGTACCCCGAAGTATATCTACTGCATCGTACAGGTACTCAGTCAGTTACTCAATTAAAAAAGAGCATAAATAAAGACATCAACAGGTAGAGATGAAGAGAGGCGATTGTTTAACCCCTTTAGCGCGAGCGTCGTACTAGTACGACGCACATGAGTTGCATGCCCCACGGCCGTCGTACTAGTACGACGCGCGCTGTACACTGTACAGTGAACCTGCATCTCATAGTCGTGTACTAGTACGACGCGCGCTGTACACTGTACAGTGAACCTGCATCTCATAGTCGTGGGGTCCGTGTTGAGTCCATAGTGACTTGTTCAAACTATCGTAACTCACTCAATACTTGGTCGATTCTCACAATCGAAACATGTATCTGCAAGAGAAAACTCTCAGCTGGCGATAGAAACAATCGCCGAAGCGATGCGACCACCGGTTGTTGAGATATGCGACTCGACACGGCAAATTTCAACTCGATTTTTTTGCGCAGTCTGCAGAACGCGTATTTTACATCATGGATCATTTGTGCGCTACCTGCTGCCATGGAAACAAGATTCAAATGATGGTAGTGGATCCCGTGAGTCCTCACAAAAAATTTGAGCTCGATACGAGCAAGGAGACCGAAATGGCAGCTGAATATTTGAGCTTGGTTAGTCTTGGCCGTGCTCAAGTCTGTCGAGCGCGTGGATGAAGTTTGCCAGACTGTAGCACGGGGTTTTGGTTTCGTTCCGAGCTAGGTTTGACACCAGTTTGTCACTCGTCTCAAGACCTTTCCAGGAAGCTCAAGATCGTGGAATTCGTCCAAGGGAAGGTAAAGTTATCGATCCTTGAGCAGCTAGTACTTTCATGGGAAAATGCGACTTTTACAGGTGTTGTCGTGGGGCGCGCTCAGGTAGCGTCGTGCTAAAGAGGTTAAAAGACACATCTCGCTTGACAAATCTCCAGACTCACCTTTCAACATAGGCCTTGAGTGCATCACAGAGTACTCTCACACACTGAGTGCTGACACCACGTTCCCAGCACCCCACCTCCGTTTCTAGTAATAGAGTACCAACAAGGCCCAGGGAGAACAGGGGAGAACAAAACATTGGAAATGTTTGAATAAATTAATGAAAAAATCAAGTGTTCTTTCAGGTGGGGCTTTTTCAGAAACAATGCATGATTACTACTCTCACCTCTCAAATCGTCTGAAAGAACATCCTTCAATATTGGCTCATCACCAAACCAAAAGATCCACAAGCACCTGGACGAGGCGCGAGAAGAACCATCTTCCGCACTACCACCTCGGGAATCATCATTCTCAGTGGTGCAAGCAGAGATGATGTGACGACGCTCAGCTGCTGCTAGGCTTTTTACAAAACTGTCTCTACTGGAGATGTTGCAACCTGACGACAATTGAGAATTTGTGTAACGCCTCCACCGAAGGTTCCTTATGTCGAACTGAAACAATTACAGAGAACACAAAGTCGTCGCCTTAGGGGAAGCGTGGGGCCAAGACTGAGAAAGAAGTATGTCAACAACATACCAGAGGAACTACATTCGAACGGGCCTGCACATCTTCAGATCTTGAAAAACCCATCACTGAGACAGCGACAGGAATTTATACAATGTTCAGCTGCTGGCTCCGCTCTTCGCTCCCACATTGCTTTGATAAATCCTCTCAGAATACCTCATTGGAATGGGAAATGACTTCAAATCTATAGATTAGACCTAGGTTTCTGCGATGAACAAACAAACGCAAGCGTTGAGTTGACAAGGGGAAGAAGTAAAAGTTCAGCATCCAGCATCCCTCTCTCTCACTCTCAGCTAGCTCGATTTCAAGTGAAGTGAAGTCGATCTGAGTGATTGCATTGTGAAGCCGCTGCATTCAACAGGCATGCGAGTTATTTTTGGTGACGTCACGCGTCGGGACGCGTCGCCAACGCACCAGGCCTTTCGCGGGCGCGTGCGCGCAAAAATAAAAAATAAAAAAGATCTACCAACATGTCATGACGTCACATGCATAGTTAGCTACAAAAAAATAATCGTCGCCCATATTAGCAGACGGCTTTGACACAAACATAGCCGCTGATAGCGGCTTGTGCCTCCGGCTACATTTCCACTTCCAGGCTGTTCCAGCTAGCTAGCTAGGTCATGAGTCGTATGAAGGCAGAATCCAGTTTTGTAAAATTAATGTGCTTCTTGACTCGACTAATAATAATAATAATTCGCGGGATTCGCGTTGGCATCGCTTGAATGTTCAGAAACACACAAACTAGCCTTCGCTTCCGCAGGCCGACTCGACTACGATGAAATAATTGTACTACAGTAACTACATTCTGGTAACTCGGAGAGCGGAATTTGCTGGAGCTGATTTGAGAATCGACTGAGAACACTACTCAGATGCGATCATGTTGGTCTCAAAGATCTCTTTCCCATGCTGTATGGACAAAATGCGCCCGCTGTTTGTGGCTATCCTAGCGAGCTGTGCTATATCGTGGATGGTTTACAGCGTTGTGTGGATAGTTGTAACGGTCAGCAGTCCTACTTACCGGTGGATGACAGTGCCATCAGAATGGCCAGATAAAATTACCGACTACTCATTTCTGCAGACACTCAAGCCATTTGGCAATGACGCCATGCAGGAAGGGCGAGGTGCTGAAGGGGATATTTTCCTGGTACAGACGAATATTATCATGCTGAGTATGTCAGATGCCAGGCAGAGTGATCACCGCAAGGAGATGCGCACAATATGGGCCCGCATAGCAAACCGCGTCAACACCAAACGGCAGAAATCTGCTGGAGCGCCGACCATTGAAAGCCAGTATGATCTCCCCGTCTGGCACATGTTTATGTGCGGGTTCATTTTGCCAGGAGGTGAACAGCACAGGAAGAAATCCATCCTAGTGACGTCACCTGGGAGGCTGCAAGCAAGCGGCAGCTACGCCAAAGCTAGAAGTCTATACCAGGAACAGCTGGAGCATGGTGATCTACTTGCTGTGCGCGCACAATACAACAACGATGAGCTCATCATTCGACTTTGCTTGCAACTCGTCACGTCACTCGACTTCCAGTACGTGATTGTTCTAGCAGACAGTATCCTACCTACTGGATTACTGTCAGTGCATTCCGTTGCTGCTACTCGGGACATGTTCACGAGATTGGAAACGACACACGCAGCCCTGAGTGACGGCGTGTTTTCACCAGTCAACGAATGCTTGCCGTCCAAGGCCGAAAACAAGACTACGCAGTGTGCATCGATGTACCTATCTCGTGAAGATGCCGCGCTACCAATCGTGTCCTCGTGGAGTTCATTGTTGAAGCAATCTTTCAACAAATCAACTTTTGAAATAGGTAGGGATATGTCTTTGCCAAATTCCTTGATAGATAATTTATCCGATTTGAACTGTACAGAAGGTAGCATGACTCTGTTTGCTCAGATTACAGATGAATCTATGAAGCGTATAGCAAATCTCAGTCAATCTAATATTAAGCAGCTAGATGATATGCTGTGCTTTGCCGCAGCTTAAAATAGTCATGCATAGTATGCATTATTGATCCTTGAAGGGTGGTGGCATTCCTACAGATGCGGAAATCTTTAGCCTCTAGCCGAGTCTCACGCGAACCGTGATATTTTTTCAAGTTATAATTCATGCAATCATTACGGCTCCAGCGAACTTGTGCAATGCTCGTGCTGCTTGTGAACGGTTTTAGTTGTGTGATGTTGTGATAAGTGCGATTTATTTCTGGTACTATCTATTTCATCATGTGGAGCTTACCTTGAGACACTCGATTGATCATTGCTTCATGTTTTTATCTTGTGTTTCGTTCTCTCAAACTGATGAAAATCAAAGGAATCAAATATTTACGGTTTACTGCAACGATATGTACATAATGTGTGCTATAATATGACTCTGCATGGGAACTGTACAACATGCGTGCTGGATTGGTGTGGCAAACATGGCTATGTGTGGTGCTGTATGGTGCAGCAAGCAGCTGGCTGAAGCTCAGGACTGTAATAGTCTGGTTTCTGGTCACTGCTTGAAGTTCTCTTGTGTTTACAATACGGGATCGAGAAAGGAGGTAAAGGTACCGCTATGTTGCTAGCTTGAGTCTACTGGAGCTGCTGGCCAACTGTCCGCTACATTTGAGTGCATAACATGTTGCATTAGTCGGACAGCTGATAGTGATACGGAGTCCTGTGTAACTCGCACTGATCCAGTAGTAGCAGTACATTGTAGTACGGTGTGTTACTTAGTATGCATGGTACAGTCAGACCTCACTTATCCGGTCCTCGTTTATCCGGATCCCTCGCCATCCGGAAGATAATCACTGGTTACCGATTTACAGCATATGACATGTATACATACAGTATGTGTGTTCGATTATCCGGTTCCCTCGCCTATCCGGATATTTTTCTGGAAAACGGATGTGTGCGGTTATGCGAGGTCTGACTGTAGTGCCTAACAACAGTACACCACATACAGGACATAAATGCAGTACATGTACCTTGTATCTTGATGGGAGTTGTTGTACAACTTGAACTCCCTAATGGATGTGCACTCTGGCCGACCTCGCTCACATCAGCAACACGACGGCTCCAAGTCTAGTAGAAGTATACAATCTGCTTTGACATCGGATGCAGATCTCATCATCACTAAAGGTGGTGGAGTACTGAATGGTTAGAACTAGTGGATGGCACTGGCTTTTAGTGAGAACGACTGTGAAAATGAGGTAGTGCAATCGCGAGCTTTGTACATGAGGCAGCATAGGTGTCATAAGCTAACACACAGAGAATACAAATAAGACTCCGACAGTGCAAGATCGCACTAGTAGTATGCTTTAAGTACTACATACATAAGGGTACAATGAAGGCGCAGAAAACCATAGTCATAGCCCTGGGTTCACACAACTACCACCTGTACTGGCTGTGGAGGTTGTAGTGCTGACACCGAACGGTCTGAACAGTCACCTCAACATTCAACGTGTTATTTCAGACGGTGCCCTGAGGCTTTTGCGGCGTACAGTATTACTTGCACCTATACTAGTAACACTGTAGTTGTGCCTACAGTGATACTACTTGAGAACGGTTTTATTCACTGAACACCATGACACCTACAGTATTAGGTTTAAACGTTTGCCTACAGTGCTACTTGCACTTACAGTGGTACTTGCGCCCAGACGGGCCAGAGCGGGCCTACAAGGCTACAGTATCACTTGTAACGTTATAATAGAGAGGCTAAGCTGCACGTTATTTCTAACGGGACGCGCAATTTCACGTCAAAGTTGGCGTAAGACTCCAAATTTTGACCTCTCTAATGTCCACAGTTCCCTTCGTGTGTCAATGCAGTCTTGGACGTATGCACTACGTGTTAGCACATATGTTACCTCCAAGCCCGATTGCGGCGTTAATTTCCACAGTTAAATTCTGCATGCGAATGCTTACCATTCTTTTCTGAACAAACTTTACTGATCAGATCGATCTGTATGACTAGATCAGCTGTGTGGAGCCATTGGTACCATTATCTATTATTTGATTGTGTTGCTGGTAGGGTGAACGAGGTCAGCCGGAGAGCGCATGTGGTGTGGAGTTATCTACCTAGTAGCGGGAGAGATTATCTATAGACAACATGATAACTTGGGCTTACGCGCCAATTGAATACATCAGCATGACAGCAAGTACAGTCAAATCTGGTAATTATGAACCTCCAAGGGACTGATGACAAATGCCCACAATTAAAACTTCTGTCCTCAATTCTCAGTTGCACCCATCACCATAGACGTCATTTTGTTCGTTGCAATCAATGCCACGATGTCTTTTCACAACACTCAAGTTAGTTGTGCGCAGTATGAATTTGATACTGCGCATTGAGCAACAGTATAGGGTGGGGCGCCGAGCTAGCTGGGCTGGCCAGTACGCAATCCCATTCACACAGTACAGTTCACATGTTGAACCCCAGTCACTCAGTGTATCCGTATTTATTGGACTCGGATCAGTGCCACACGGCATTGTGGCGGAACGTGAGATTACTAGTATTGTGCATTTTGTAGTTCACAGGTGACCCAATTTTCAAGTGTCTGTCTGCTCATGCATGAGCAACACGAGCTGATATGAATTATGTGTACGCTTATCTTAGGGTTGTAGCCTTAGCGACAAAGCGTAGCTATTTCAGAATTGGACGGCTCGCTCAGCGTCCATTGAGTCTTCCTAGTGCATATTGTAGGGCTGCTTATAAATAATGTAACCACCCTCGTCACGCCGTATGCATTGCATGCATGAAGGCACTAAATCTGTACCAATTATATGCTGGTTCTGCTAGTCGAGTAAAAATGGCAATGATGGCTCTCATTACCATGGTGTACTCCATGACTGTGTCAAACAATACAGATGTGTATACCTGCACCACCTCTGCACCTTGAAACTAACCAAGGTATCCCTCATCAGTTTCAAGCAGACTACAAGTCTACAACCCTGAATCTGAATCATACGCTAGGGTGGGTATCCGAATGTGATATATCAGTGGGCATTCAAGTTTACGGTGGGCACCAGGGAGTCGTGGCATAGACTGGGAGACCACACGGGTGACTATAACCTGTCCCCGGGGAAAATTGCAATTCCGCGGCCGCGTTTTTTCCGCGTTTTTTGCGATTTTTTAAAAGACCGCGTTTTCCGCGATTTTCCCGCGTTTTTTGAACTTTTTTGTTGCACTACACGTACACACAGTGCACTGTTCGGTCAGCAACGTCTCATCGTGGCGGCTTTTTACTCAAATATGACGAGTGCTTACACCAGAGACTTGTAACTGATTGATTTCACTACATACTCACTGAAAATTGCCGCACAT